TTGCATGAATTTTGGTGGATTGTGTCTTTCAAGGAATGGGCTCATTTCATCTAGGTTACCCAATTGTTGAACATAGAGTTGTTCGTAGTATTCCTTTATTATCCTTTTACTTTACTGGACGTCTGTAGTGTTTCATTTCTGATATTAATAATTTGTATTCTCTTTCTCTTAGTGTGGCTAGGGGCTTATTGATTTTTTATAGATATTTTCAATGGACTGGCTTTTGGTTTTGTTGATTTTCCCTATTGATTTCCTATTTTCAACTTCATTGATTTCTGCTCTAATTTTTACTGTTTCTTTTCTTCTGCCAACTTGCAATTTGCTTTTCTCCCCTAATTTTATAATGTGGAAACTTAAATTACTGGTATTGGTTTTGGATCTTCTTTTCTAGTCTGTGCAATCAGCACTATCAGTTTCCCCCTATGTGCTGCTTTTGTTGGATTCCACAAATTTTGAGTTGTGTTTTCATTTTCTCTTAGTTCAAAAAAAATGTTTTAATTTCTCTTGAGTTTTCTTCTTTGACTTACATGTTGTTTAGAAGTGTGTTTATGGGCCACCTGGGTGGCTCAGTAGGTTGAGTATCTGACACTTGGTTTAGGGTCAGGTCATGATCTCAGGGTTGTGGGATGCAGTGATGTCGGGCACCTTGCTCAGCAGGGAGCCTGCTTCTTTCCCTCTGCTTCCCCCCAAAATAAATAAATGAACATCTTTTTAAAAAGTGTGTTGTTTAGGGGTGCCTGGGTGGCTCAGTGGGTTGAGCATCCAGTTCTTGATCCTCAGAATTGTAAGTTCGAGCACCACATTGGGTGTAGAGATTACTTTTCAAAAAAATCTAAAAAAATGAAGAAGTATGTTTAATTTCCAAGTATTTTTGGATCTTCCAGTTATCTTTCTGTTAAGATTTCTAGTTTCATTCCGCTGTGCTCTGAGAGCAGACATTGTATGATTTGTATTTTCTTAAATTTTTGAAGACAGGGTTTCTGACCTAGTATAAGGCTATGTAGGTGAATGTTCTGTGGGAAAACTGCTCTTTTGTATGAAGTAACTCATAGATATGAATTATGCCCTGTTGTTGGGGGTTCTGTCGAGATCAGTGGTGTCCTTACGGATGTTCTGCTGCTGGGTCTGTGTGTTTCTGACACAGAGGAGTAAAGTCTTCAGCTGTCATACTGACTCCATCTGTGTGTCCTGCAGTTCTGTCTGTCTGTCTCCTGCAGGTTAATGCTCTGTTTCAGGCATGCACACGTTGTGTACTAGGTTGTGACATCATCGAGAACTGACCCTTTATCACCGGGTGATGCCTGTCATCCCTGCTAATCTTCCTTATCTGGAGTCTGCTTCATCTGAAATCAATATAGCTGCCCTGGCTTAGTATGATTAGTAATAACAGTCTTTCTCTGTGCATCATCTTTCAGTCTATGTGTGTCTTCACATCTAAGGTAGGTTTCTTGGAGACAACATGTAGTTGTAGTCTGACAATCTTTGCCTTTTAATTGGTGCATTCAGACGATTGATGTTTAGGTGATTATTGATATAGTTGGGTCACTATCTACCACACTGGTTATAGTTTTCTGTTTGTTGCCCTTGTTTTTTATTATTTTTGTCTACCATTCTTTTTCTGGTTTCTGTGAGTTTATTTATTTATTTTTTTAATTATTTTTTAATTTTTATTTATTTATGATAGTCACAGAGAGAGAGAGAGAGGCAGAGACACAGGCAGAGGGAGAAGCAGGCTCCATGCACCGGGAGCCCGATGTGGGATTCGATCCCAGGTCTCCGGGATCGCGCCCTGGGCCAAAGGCAGGCGCCAAACTGCTGTGCCACCCAGGTATCCCTGGTTTCTGTGATTTTAATTGGGCATTTTACATGATATGTTTTTTTCTCCTTTTTCAGCTTGCCTGTTATATAGTTCTTTTTTCCTTTTTGTCTCAAATTTGCAAGATACACTTATACCTAACCCTAGTCCACTTTCTTTTTTTAAAAAAATTTTTTTTAATTTTTATTTATTTATGATAGTCACACACAGAGAGAGAGAGAGGCAGAGACACAGGCAGAGGGAGAAGCAGGCTCCATGCACCGGGAGCCCGACGTGGGATTCGATCCCGGGTCTCCAGGATCACGCCCTGGGCCAAAGGCAGGCGCCAAACCGCTGCGCCACCCAGGGATCCCCCTAGTCCACTTTCAAATTATACTGACATGATAATAAATACATGTATTGGTCTCTGCCCATGGCTCCTGATACAGCTCCTGACATGACTCTGGATGGGGCTGGTCATCAGAACAACAAGGCCACAGCCAGAAGCTTGGCACTTTCAGCCCTGCCCCCGTCCTTCAGAGAGGGGAGAGGGGCTGCAGACTAAGCTAATCATCCATCACACCTACGTGATGACACTGCCACAGAAGTCCCTCAAGTGTGGGCTTTGGAGAACTTCCAGGTGGAAGAATACACCCACGTGGGGTGGGTGGTGCACCCAGAGAGGGTTCAGGAGCTCCCCTGCCTCACCCCCGTGCCCTGCCCTCAGCAACACTACCACTGGGATGTTCCTGACTCATACCCTTTATGACAAACCCACGACAACACATATATGTTTCCCTGAGTCCTGTGAACTTGAAGCAGGGGCTGTGAGAACCTCCAGTTTACAACCAGGTGGTCAAATGCACACCCTGGGACCCTCTAGGTAGGGCTGGCGTCTGAGGTGGGGGCAGGCCAGTGGGACGAGCCCCTAACCTGTGAGGTTGGAACTGAGCTGACTTGCAGGTGGCCCAGCAGGTGTTGCAGAGAGACAGCTGGAGACCTGCCCGGCTGCACCCACAGCGTGGAGTCAGACCTGTTTAGTTTGTATGGAAACAGGGAGCTTTTCTTTGAAGCCTTGTGCTGCTTCCTGGAGCATGAGAACTTGGAACCACATAATCCTGACCTACCACCCTTTAGGTCGCCATAGCCTACACAACCAAGTATATAGCATTGCTGCGCCACCACATCAAAGATTAACTAAGAGTCAGAAGGGGGCGGGGGCCTGGCTCCATCGGGAACATTCGCCTCTGGATCTCACGGCTGTGAGTTCAAGCCTCACACTGAGTGTAGACATTGCTTAAAAGAAAATCTTATGAAGAAGAAGGAGGAGGAGGAGGAGGGGGAGGAGGAGGAGGAGGAAGAAGGAAGAAGAAGAAAGAAGAAAGAAGAAGAAGAAGAAGAAGAAGAAGAAGAAGAAGAAGAAGAAGAAAAGTGTTTATTTTTTTATTTGGCCTTCACTGAGTTCTCCTCCTGTGCTCTCCTTCCCCTCGGCTCTGACCTTCACCACTTTCCTTCTGTCTGAGGAACTTTGAACATCTTACAATGCAGGTTTGTTGAGCAGGGTCCCCAGTTCTCATGTCAGCATCTTTATTGCTCCCTCACATTTAAAGGATAATTTCACTGGGTACAGAATTCTAGGTTGGTGTGTTTTTCTCTCTCAAAATTTTAAATATCGGGTTTACTCTTTCCGTGCTCATGTGTCCTCTGAGGAGTCACTTATCACTGTTATCTTTGTTCCTCGTTAGATCAGGTGTTTCTTCCCTCTGGCTTCTTTCTGAATCTTCATCTTTGATTATCTGTAGTGTGAAGATGGTGTATATGCTAGGGTGTTTGGCGTTTGTCCTGTGGGGTTCATTTGTCCTGCAGTCCTTGGGCATCCTGGTCCGTGGTTGTCAGTTTCGTTTGCTTGCTTGCTTTTCAGTTTCAGGGTGTCCTCAGGTGTTGAGACTCTGCTCAGCAAGTCCCGCCTGCTAAGGAGCTCATCAATGGCCTCGTTTCTGCCGCTCTGCTCTTGCCTCTGGTTCTCAGGATTTCCACATCCCTGCTCACACTGCCCATGTGTTCTCGTGTGCTGTCTCCTGTATCTGTAGGGCTCCCAGCCTCTGTGAACCACGGTTATTTAAAATTCTGGTCTGAGCATTCCCACACCCCACCAGGTCCAAGTCTGGTTCTGATGCTGCTCTGTCTCCTCAATGTTTGTGTTTTGCCTTGCTATGTACCTTGTGGCGGTTTCTCGATGGCTGGACATGACATCCCACATCAAAGGAACTGCAGTCTCCCTCTGCTTCCCTAGCATGACCTAGGCAGGGGACAGCTGGGGTTGGGCCCAGTGCCTTCTCAGCCCCACAGAAGCTTAGCTTCTCAGCCCGCTAACTGGGGCCAGATAGAAGGGGAGCTGAGAGGCCTACCCCAGCCAAGCAGGGGTTTGGGACCTGGAGTCCAACCTGTGACTTCCTGCCTGGCTGCAGAGGGTACGACAGCCTCCCAGGCCTGCTTTCCAGGCCTCTGTGGAAGCACAGGATGAGTGAGACCTGCTACAAGGCCCTTGAGCTCCTCTGCTCAGGCTCTCAGGGCTCTGGGCTGGAGCAGAAGAGAAGGGGCATCTTCCTTGCTCAGGAGGTCACTGTACCCTGACTCCACACCCAGCACTTGGCTCATTTCTGCCAACTGACCTTATAACAACCCTGGGTATTTTGAAAAGGTTCATGGTTTTGAATTGATGCTTTTAATAACATTTGTTATATTAAAGTTGTAATTAATGTAAAAAAGAGAAGGCACTGCAGTCAGCAGATGTCGAGTGATGTAGCGCGAGACTTGGGGAGCCATCGGTCTGTGTCCAGCAAGGGCCATGCATCTGGATCATGCTCCTGTCACCCCGACTCCCCTCCCCTGGTTAGCAGGGCCCTGAAGAACCCCAGCAGTCGAGGCTCTGCTGGAACAGTTTCCCCTGATGGCAGGCTTTCTCTCCCAGTGCCAGAGACCCAAGAGCATTTTCCTCTGCTCTTTCCTGTGAGAACCAACTTTACAACCAACTGGATGTAAAGCTCACAAGACTGTGGGGCCTCGTGACTGGGTGTCTTGTGCCTACAGCACCGGTGTTGGCTGTGCAGGGGTCCGCCTTGGCAGTGGTTCTCCAAGGGCGTCCGTGTTCCTTGTGAGGACCAGGGCCGCCTCCTTGTGTTGATCCCTGCATTCCTGTTTTTAGGACCCCTCGCTCTTGGATGGCCGGGTGACACTTCTCCATGTGCCGGGGGGAACAGTGGTGTCGAGGCAGGGAGACCAGGTAAGCAAAAGGCCATGGTCGGAGGGAGCAGTGACCAGGGCTGCTCAGAGCTCTAGCCAGTGCCAGGTGGGGTGCCAAGGAGGCGGCCTCCCTGTGGCCCAGCCTGGGCACAGGCCCCCTGATGTGCGGGCTGTGGGCCGCCTTCAAGGGACAGGCTGCATTTTCCTTCCTCTGTGAATGTGGAGCCAGTAACCTGTTCATGTGGGACATTATGTACGGAGGTGCTGGGGGAGGGATGGGCCTCTGCCACTGAAGAATCAACCTCCTGTAATTGGTCATCAAACAATAAGACCGTGGACGCTGCTGACACTTTCCAGGGGACACTGTGTCTGGATCAGTGCTGTGAGGGAGAGCAGGCACAGGAGAGGTGTGGGGCTCCTGGAGCCCCCACGGACTGCAGTGCTGACCTCCTGGGTGCTGTGTGCTGCGAGCTGCATGCCAGGTCGGGGGTCTCCAGCCCACACCCCTTGTCTGGTCAGGACGTGAACATACTCTTCATGGTTTCGGGGCTGCTGCACGTGTACCAGCGGAAGATTGACAGCGAGGAGGACACCTGTTTGTTTGTGGTGCGCCCCGGGGAGATAGTGGGCCAGCTGGCCGTGCTCACAGGAGAGCCCCTCATCTTCACCATCAAGGCCAACAGGGACTGCAGCTTCCTCTCCATCTCCAAGGCACACTTCTATGAGTAAGTCTCTGCTGGGCCCCAACCTGCCGTGAGGTCAGGCCAGCTTGGGGACCCCCGTGCAGCTGGTGGCAGCTATGGGACCCCCATTGGGCCCCTCAGGGTCCGGCCTTAGGCCCTACTCACACATGACATGGAAGTCCCAGAGAGAAGGGTGATGGAGCAGGAAGGGGGTGTCACGCTGCGGGGTGGCCCCCATGCCTGCCACCTCTGGACACCAGGAGGATGCTGGCTGCTCAGGAAGACACTCAGGCCTCCCTGTACCTGAGCCCCATCCAGTTTGTCCAGGCCCAGATAGTCTTGAGCCCACTGAGGGAGGCTAGGCCTTGTGTGCTGCCTGACTACCCTGCGTGCATCTTCATGTGTTTGCGTGTGTCTCTGTGTGTGCATGACACTCAGGCCTCCCTTCTCCTCAGCCCCATCCAGTTTGTCCAGGCCCAGATAGTCTTGAGCCCACTGAGGGAGGCTAGGCCTTGTGTGCTGCCTGACTACCCTGCGTGCATCTTCATGTGTTTGCGTGTGTCTCTGTGTGTGCATGTCAGTGTGTGTGTGTGTTTGCATGCATCTGCATGTGTTCACGTGTGTTGGTGTGTGTGTGCATGTGTCTGCATCTGTTCACATGTGTCTGCATGTGTTCCCATGTGTCTTCATGTGTTTGCACGCGTCTGCATGTGTTTCCAGGCATCTGCGTGGGTTCACAACCTAAGCCCCCTGGTGCAGGCAGCTCCTGCCCTACAGAGGTTGTCCGACTGCTGTCCTAAACAGTTTCACCCAATCCTGGGCCTTTATGTACCAAATTCACATCTCCCCCCAAACGTCACTCCTGGGGTCAGGCTTGTGTGTCAGCCGCTGTCCTGATGTCCCCTGGGGTGCAGGGGTTTCCTCATTCTGTCCAAAACTGAGCTGCATGCCCCCCCACACACACTTTGCTCCCACTCTGACTTTTGTCTTTGTGACTGCTGACTCTTGTGTGCCCATTACTCTAGCTGCATCCCAGAGTGGCCCCCGTGTAGCTGCAGCCCTTGCGCCGACCACCTCCCTGCTTCTGCCCTCACCCCTAGCAGCCTGTTCACATACGGCGACCAGGGAGCCAGAGCCCACCAGTGACCCTGTCATTCCCAGGATTGACCCAGTCCCTTTCTCAGCCCAAGGCCCCGTGTGGTCGCTGCCCCTGACTTTGGCCCCACCTCCACTCTGGTGCCCCCACTCAGCCCTTCCCCACCTGCTCTGGACTTGATGGTGCATCATGGGGACAGGGTCTCTGCATCCCACTGCCAGGGTCAAGCCCTCCTGTGAGACCTGTGCTCTGGCAGGAGGCTCCTGGGCTCTCCCAGAGCTGCTGGCCCCTGGGCATCATGGGCTATGATGGAGCAGTGGCTGAGAGGGCACCGAGCTCTGTCCCGCCCTGGGCCTGTGTCTGTCACTTGCTACATGGCATCACCATTTGATAAATGGGGCTCTTGGTCCTGCCAACTCTCAAGTGCTGTGGCGTGGAGGGAAGGGTCAGAACTGGTGGGATTGGCTGGAGGTCGTGGTGGGCCAGGACTAACTCGGGGCTGGCTCCACAGAATCATGCGAAAGCAGCCGACTGTCGTTCTGGGCGTTGCACACACTGTGGTGAAGCGAGTGTCGTCCTTTGTGCGGCAGATCGACTTCGCACTAGATTGGATGGAGGTGGAGGCCGGGCGCGCAGTGTACAGGTGGGGCCCTCAGGTGTGCTGGTCCCTGGGAAGAGGGGAGAAGACAGTGCAGCTCAGCCCCCTGAGGTCACCACTCCATGTGCTCCGTGGCCCTCCTCCCGCCTGTGTGAGAGTGCACACCCTCAGACATGCTTTTTCATGGGCACGTTTCCCTGTCATTCTGTGCAAATCCACACTGTGTTCTGAGATGGCCCAGTGGAAGTGATGCTAATATGGCATTTATGAAGGTGGTCACATGCCGAATGTCCCATGTGACCTTGTCTGGGCACCCTTAGCTCCATGTCACAGCAGCGCCTGCACCCAGGGTCACACAGACATGGTCATAACTGCCAATTTACATGCCATTGAAAATTAAAACTAAGAACATTTTATTTTTTTATTTTTAAAACATTTTATTTATTTATTTGAGACAGAAAGTGAGAGACAGAGCATGAGCAGGGGGTATGGGAGCAGAGGGAAGAGGGAGACACTGACTCCCTGCTAAGCAGGGAGCCTGATGTGGGGCTCGATCCCAGGACCCCGAGATCATGACCTGAGCTCAAGGCAGACACTTGACTGAACCACCAGGTGCCCCCAAAACTAAGGACATTTAAAATATTTAATGATTTACTTAAAAATCACAATAAGCCTTTTACATATTAGCATATATATTTTTTAATGGAAAGTAACTGTATTTTCCAAAACAAAAATAGAGTGAGAAGATTGGGTTTTTTCGTTTTTTTCCCACCTCAGATGGTGGTGGGTTTCCTGTCCTGGGCCCTCGGCTCCCAACAGCCTCTGTCCCTCTGTCCCTGCAGGCAGGGGGACAAGTCAGACTGCACCTACATCGTCCTTAGTGGCCGGCTACGCTCTGTCATCCGGAAGGACGATGGCAAAAAGCGTTTGGCTGGGGAGTATGGCCGTGGAGACCTCATTGGTGTGGTAGGGCCGAGGTCCCTCTTCCCCGTGCCCTGCACTGGGGTGACTGCCAGCCCATTACCTGGATGTGGGGAGGGAGCCCGGGACATGACCTGAGGAAGGCTCTTTCCCCTCATCTGAGGCACTCCTTTCCTGGGGGGGCTGACTTGCTTGCTCTCTGCCCAAGATGCAGCCCTGGGGTGGAGCTGACACTGGGGAAGGTCTGCAGGGACAGTAGCTGGCTGGGCACCTGGAACAGCACCTTCACTGCTGCCAGGAGAACATGCCCCCTGGTTGAGGGATGGCGGCGGACAGGCCTCTGCTTGGTGTCTGCCGGCCTGGCCTGTCTGGCTGGCTCCAGTGCTGCAGTCATTGTGCCCCCTTACAAGCTCCCACAGATGCTTCTCCAGCAGCGCAGGGCTGGCTGCTCCAGTGCCTTTCCCTCCCATTCCCACCTGTACACTGTGGCCAGAAGGGTTGCTGTGGGCTTTGCCTTCTGGCTGGGTCCAGAGTGCAGCCAGCCCGGCCTGCAGGACTGGAGCGTGTGAGCCGCATGGCAGTGCTTCCCCAGCTGCTCTTCCTCAGGTGGAGACGCTCACCCACCAGGCCAGGGCAACCACAGTGCATGCTGTTCGGGACTCCGAGCTGGCCAAGCTTCCGGCAGGAGCCCTGACATCCATTAAACGCAGGTACCCACAGGTAAGCGCTCCTGTTGCATACTGCCTAGGGAAGCAGGACATCCAGACCATGACCTGGGAATTATTGGGCCCTGGGCTGCATCCTTGTCAGTACCAGAGTGAGGGACACACTGAGGTGACCTACAGCAGGCATGTTGCATGTTTTATTTTATTTTATTTTACTTAATTTTTTAAAAAGATTTTATTTATTTATTTGTGTGAGAGAGAGAGAGAGAGAGAGAGAGGCAGAGACACAGGTAGAGGGAGAAGCAGGCTCCCTGTGGGGAGCCCGATATGAGACTCGATCCCAGGATCCCAGGATCACTACCTGCGCCAAAGGCAGATGCCCAACCACTGAGCCACCCACCCAAGGCTGCACGTTTTAAAGGAAGTGTCAGCGTGGACCAGCACATGGGGGTAGGGCCTTGGGGCAGGTGCCTTGGGCAGTGCCAGGAGGTAGGAGGGAGAGAAAAGGACCCAGCAAGTGAAGCCCTCCTGGCCCATCCCAAGTAAGGAGCCAGCAGGGGCCTCTTGCTCTGCATCTTGGGGAAGGTGAACTGCGCATTTAGAGAAGGATCTTGGGCCAGTGGCCATCGGTCCAGCAGAAAATGAGGGGAGTCTGTTTTACTTCTGGGGCCGTTAGCTGGCTGGTTGTCTGGCATTTGCCTCCCTGCTTTGAGGTAGTAGGTGTGCAGCCGAGGAAACAGGAGAACCTCTGAGCTCAGGGTTGGGAGAAGGATCAGCTGCAGGGCCACCTGAGAGAAGAGACAGCCTGTTCTTTCCTCAGTGGCACCATGTGCACCTGTCCTGCTGACCTCTCTGCTTTAGAACACATAGAAAATCCCCCAGTTCATTTTATGAAATTCTAATTTGACTTTAATACAAAAACTTGACAAGGACAGAAAAAACAATATTCTCTTAGTGCTGTAGCTGCAAATACTCTACATGTCAGTAAATCAACTATGAAAACTATGTATTTGATTAGTCTGTTTAAGGAATTTCAACCCAGTGCTGGCAAATTATTAAACCACAATTAATTGTGGAGACCCTAGTGAATGGCAGGATGGTCATGGTGGTGGCTGGGGCCGGATGTGTGCCAGGAGCTCTGGGTTCACTGGGAGCGAGGGCGAGCCAGGCCCCTTCCTTTTCTGCAGGGCTTCTCCCTGGTGGACCCATAAACAGACTCTCTATTCACACCCACTCCCTGGGGTCCACAGACGTTCCCCATCTGCATTCCCAGGAGCCTGCGGCCTGTCCTGCTGCTTCTCCATCACACACTGGCTGCTGCCGGGCTGACCACCACCCAAAGCAGTGGCCGTGAGCTCAGAGCAGCCAGGCTGCATGTGCCCTCCAGCACAGGGGGCCCCACAAGGGACTGCTGCCAGCCAGTATCCCCATCCCAACCACTCTTCATTCTGTCTGTTCTTGGATTTCATGTAAATGAAATAATGTGGACACAGTATTTTCTGTCTGGTTTCTGTTGCCTGTCGTGATATCTGAGGTCTGTGTCTCATTGGCATGTTCTTTTTACTGCGAAGTAGTATCCAGTGTGCTCCACCCTGCTCACCTGTCCTCCTGACCATGGATATTCGGTGGTTCCCAGTGTGAGGCCGTCATGAAGAGGCTGCTAGCAAAGTTTTTATGGAACTTTTTTTTCTTTTAAGATTCTGTTTATTTATTCATGAGAGACACAAAGAGAGGCAGAAACACAGGCAGAGAGAGAAGCAGGCCCCATGCAGGGAGCCCGATGTGGGACTCGATCCCAGGTCTCCAGGATCACGCCCCAGGCTGAAGGCGGCACTAAGCTGCTGAGCCACCGGGGCTGCGCTTTATGGAACATTTTTCATTTCTCTTCAGAGCTACCTGAGAGTGGCATTGCTGGGCCAGAGGGCAGACGTGTGTTAAACTTTCTCAGAGACTGCCAACAGGTCCCCCATGTGGCTGTGCAGCTTTATGGCCGGCACGTGTGTGGCTGCGCTCCTATGGTGCTAAGTGGTTCTTGTGGGAAGACATCCCCTGATGACTAGACATGTTAAGGACCTTTCCATGTGTTCATGGGCTTGTTTTGAACCTCTTTCGCTTGATGTAGAATTATTTTTTATATTTTTAAATTAGCTTTAATGAGAATGACTGTGAATTTGTAATTGTGACAGTTATATCATGAGTGTGTTTTTAAAGGCTCTTGTCTTTTAGAGATACAGATTCAAATATCAATGGATAAAATACCATGTTTGGGATTGGCTTCAGACATTTTCAGGTGTGCATGTGAAATAAGGGATTGCAGCAGGTGAAGGGAGGGTGGGGTCACCTATTGTGTACCGTAAACTTTTCCGTAGTAACGTGTGTTGTTTTTGTTAGCTCCAGTGAACAGTTTGATGCTGCATTAGTTGTATACAAACCAGACTACTTTGTAGCTTCTGGTTGGACCACTGTTCAAATCGTTCTTTTGTCTCACATCCTAAAATGGGGACGGTTTCCTCGGCCTCTTGCATGGATCTTTGACTCCAACTGAGTCAGTTTGCAGGAGCCACTGGTTCCCGGAGCCTCAGGTCTGAGCCCCACAGCCCATGGCTGTTGACAGGTGGGCAGCTAGCCCGAGAGGAGGAGAAGCAGCATCAAATTTATCTGCTTTCTGGTTGTTTCCCTGAAGCTGACTCCAGCTTCTCTTTTCATATGGAGCCCTGGACTGCCAGCACTGGGCTTTTGGTGCAGGGGTACATCTCCTGTCACCTGTGGACCTGAGCAACCAAAAAAATTAACTCACTTTATTTTTATACAAAGGTATTTAAAAGTAAATTACAGGGGCTTCTAGGAGCTCCATCAATGAAACATCTGCCTTCAGCTCAGGTCATGGTCCCGGGGTCCGGGGACTGAGCCCCACGTCGGGCTCCCTGCTCAGCAGGGAGTCTGCCCCTCCCTCTGCCTCTGCCTCCTGCCCCATGTGACCCACTCTCTCTCTCCAATAAATAAATAAATTCTTTAAAAAAATAAAAGTAAATGACATATCTTGGCATAATTTGTCTAAGACTCTAAAATGTAGTAGTGGTGCAACTGTGTACTACTTCCTAGATGTGTGACACCCAGCCTGGGTCCTGCCCAGGCCAGGCCCCCAGGAGCACACGGCGAGCCCTTTTTCTCTGTGGAAGCCCTTTCCAGCCTGCCTGTGGGGTGGTCGTGGCTTCCCCTGCTGCTCCTCTGCCCTGGAGGACCAAGGAGACTCTGGCCCGGGCACAGGTCACTAGACGTGTGCCCCCCACACCTGCTGGCCCCAGCGGGCTCTCTGGGGGGCAGCCTCTCATCCCACAGCATTGGCTCCCACCTCCTGGTGACAAGCCAGCCAACGGCACCACTGCCCTCAGCCCAGACATGCTGGTTTTGAAAACGTGGATCCAAGGTGCTTCTTGGTTTAAATGTGTGGCCTCCTTCCTTTCTCTGCAGGTTGTGACTCGGCTGATTCATCTCTTGGGTGAGAAGATTCTGGGCAGCCTCCAGCAGGGTAGTGGCACAGGTGTGTTCTAGGGAACCTTGCCCCATGGCCTGGCCGTGGCTGCACAGAGGGGCATGGGTGTGCTGAGGTGGGAGGGAAGGAGAGCCAGATCCTGGGACTCAGTTTTTGTGTTCTCTTCTGGCTCCAATTCTGAGCAAGTGCTTTGTTAAGTCCTCACTCCCCACCCCTCGCCCCCCCCCCCCCCCGCCATCCTGGTGAATAGCGGCTGGAACTGCCTGCTCCTGCCTTGGCCTATGGCCTCCTCTGCCAGGGCCCCTGTCAGAGCCCTGCAGCCCCCTGGTCACCCCGGTGCCCTCTGTCCCTCCCTGCAGCCCCCCTGGCCATCCAGTGTCCTCCGCCCCCCCCCCAGCAGCCCCCTGCCACCCTAGTGCCCTCTGCCCATCCCAGCAGTCCCCTGGCCATCCTGGTGCCCTCTGCCCCTCCTTGTAGCCTCATGGCCATCCTGGTGTCCTCCATCCCTCCATTCCCCTTCTGCATGTCTTTCAATCCCCCTACTCATCCTACGACTCCCTAGTTAGCTGGTATGTAGTCTGTGCCCGGCCAGCTCGGGCACCACGGAAGGGCAGCACCATGTCTCCCCACAGTGACCTGGGCGACTGTGTCTTGTGGAAGGGATGGGGGACCTGCATGCCCGGCAGAGGCAGCAGAGCGTGGCAGTGCCCCCCGACTCTGGCACAGCTCATGTCTCTGCGTCTGCAAAGACCCTACTTCCTGATGAGGTCACACTCGGGTCTGGGGTAGATACGGGAGGCACAACCCAACACGTGGTGTCTCCTTTTTCTTTTCACCTCCGACCACCTGTGTGGTCATGTTAGAAGCAGGTTTCTTGTGGAAAGCATATAGTTGGGCCCTGTTTTTGTCATCCCACCTGAGAACTTGTTTTGTTTTTTGTTTTGTTTTTTTAAGATTTTATTTGAGACAGAGAGTAAAGGGCAGGGAGGGGCAGGGGGAGAAGCAGGGTCAGTCCTGGGACCCCAGGATCATGACCCTAAGATCATGATGACCTGAACTGAAAGTAGACACTTCACTGATGGAGCCACCCAGGCACCCCTCATTTTTCTTTTTTGAGGTTTCTGTTCTTATTTATCACTCGTGGTTCTGGGGTCCATTCTCATAGGGTGCTTGGAAGTACCTGCTGTAGGATTGGGTCTCCTGGAGCTTTGGGGGGAGTGGCAGCCTCAGCACCGCTCCTGCCTTGGCCTGGCCCCCCGTAGCTGTGCTTGCATTCAGTGCACCCCTCACGCAGCCTGTAACCTCCGTGTCCAGCCACCAAAGTGCTGTGGCAGCTCGAGCGGAGAATTGTCTAGAATATCTACCACTCTGCCATGCCCATTCTGGCAGCCCTTTCTGTCCCAAGAAGTGCCTCCCGCACAGACCTTCTGGGGAGGTCTGCCGGCTGCAAACACCTGAATCCCCATCACCAAGCCTGTCTGCGGGGCCCATCCTGCGTCATGGTCCCACGTCTGTTCCATCTTTCTCTCTGGCTGCGTCCAAGACATTGTCTGTGTCCTTGGTTATAAGAGACTAAATGCTCCTGAATCTGTAGGTTTGTATCTTTTACCAAACTTGAGAGGTTTTCAGTGTTCACTTCTTTAGATATGCTCTCAGCTCTGTCCTCTCGCCTCTTTGGAAAGGCAGTGACACAAACGCTAGGCTCCCGTTCTCATCCCCAGGCCTTGTGGGCCCTGCAGGCTTCCCTCCATCCTGCATACAGCTGAACTGAACTGTTCAGTTTCCTGGTGATCCATCTTCAAGGTCTGTTGCTGCATTTGTGCTGCTCGTTCTGCAGCTTATGATCACTGCTTTACCTTGTTGAGGAATTCCAGACTCTATGACATGCTCTCATTTTGTCCATCGTGGAGCTTTGGAGCTTTTCCTGGCTTTGGGTCCTACTGGTAACTTTGCATTATGTCCTGGGTTTCAGGCATGATATCATGAGGCTCCGGTTCTCTATGAAATCTTCTGCTTTAGCAGAGTGGGTATGCCCATATTCACGGAGCACGTCCTGTCTCTTACTGCACTTGAATGGGGTTCAATTCTGGAGGCCTTTGTGGGATTGCTTTGGTCTGCCCTGTGGTGCACGCCCTGGAGTTGGGATGGAGGCTGTTCTCAGAGCCTCCACTGTGCGACTCTGGTTTCATATGTGGGATACCCGGAAATGAGCCCAGGACTTCACTGTGTCCATCCCCCTTCTCACCGCAATCACCCCACTCTGTAGTTGTGCTGCCCCTACTTGGGCAAGGCGTGGGGAGTGGGGGCTCTACTCCACCATGTCTGCAGCCCCTGGACGATATCCCTGGAGGGCCAACCCTGCTTTGCTTCACTGGGGACGGAAGGGTGCATGGCTGCATTGCTGGTGGTTCCCAGGGGTCGAAGCCTACCTGTCTGCCCTCCTCTCTGTGCCCTTCTGAGTCCCTTGTAACTGTCGGCAGCAGTTAGGTGCCATGTATCTGCTCCATCTCCCCTGGGCAGCACCAGAACCGCCCGGTGCCTCTGGGGAAGCTAGGAGACAGCCTTGCAGGGCTAGCAAGAGGTGGGAGAGTGCTGACCTCAGTTGCTAGAAAGGACAGAAGAGGAGCTGCAGGAAAACCGGTGCCGAGGGGCTCCTGTGCTGGGCTGTGTGCTCCCACTGCCCGGCATCTGGCCTTCCCTTCCCCTGCCCCAGTCTGGCTCTGCGCTGCCTCCTCTCCCTGCTGTCCTACATCCCCTCTGGTTCCTGGGTCAGGCCATGCAGGGACCCACACTCCACTGCTCAGGAACTGCCTCTCCTCACCCAGGATGAACTGAGCAGAGTCAGGCACGGACCCTGTCCAGGAGGAGCTGGGCCCTGGGGTGGCTGGTGCCTGGGCCCAGCATGCACATCAGAGGTTGGGAGGGTCTGCATGGAGCTTGGGGTGTGGCAGCCACAGGCTAGGAGCCAGGAAGGCAGCCCTGGGCATGTCCAGGCTGCGGGAGACCAGAGACTGCCTAGGACACCTGTGAAAACAGGAGGTGCTGCTAGCCAAGGAACAGCTGCTGTTGGAAATAAACTCCTAGAGACCTCGTACTGAGACCCAGTGGGTGGACATGCCTGCAGTCCCCTTCTCTGCTGCCACAGGGGCCCCAGGAGGCACTAGAGGACAGAAAACCCTGGTCTCAGTGACAGGAAGCTCTGTCTACACTGGCTTGCCACTCAGAGTTTAGGCTGCTGCCCATCCACAGGTCGCTCTCACTGCTTCTAGAGCACGTGGTGGAGACACAGTGGGAGGTAGGCCTCACCTGGTGGAACACTGGACTCTCAGGGGTTCCTCTGGGTCTCATTCTCTGCTCGGTATGCTCATCAGTCAGACTGAGGTCCTGGAGCACGTGAGACGGGAAGTGCTCAGAGTATGGCCTGGTGCTTCTGTGGGAGAGGTGGGGTGGCCAGGGGTGGGCACGGGAAGGCCAGGAGGCTGGGTCAGACCCCAGGGCCCCTTCCTCGCTCCCAGGCCCTCATGTCCTGGCCCCATCCAGACACAATCAGAGACGCAGAGACTGTTCAGTGCCAGCCCAGCCCCTCTGGCCGACATGCAACCCTGTGCTCTGCAGGTCACCAGTTCGGGCTGCACACCGCTGGCAGCAAGTGGGACACAGGGAACCCTGCCAGCAACCTCTCCACGGTAGCCATCATGCCCGTGTCGGAGGACGTGCCCCTCACTGCCTTTGCCCTGGAGCTCAAGCACGCCCTCAGTGCCATTGGTAAGTCCCGCCCAAGGCCACGGGGCCACTGGAGCCCTCCCCTCTTGCCTCGTGGTTAGTGTCACCTTCACGGCCAAGCCTCAGGGTGCTCTGGAGCTGGAGAGCATCCACTGGGTGTCTCCTCAGTTGTGATGGCAAACTTTGTGTTGCGGGAGCCTGGCTGTTTCTCCAAGACGCTTGGAAGCCTTCTACCCCGAGGGGCCCTGCAGTGGCTGCAGGAGCTGGCTGACCGCGTGAAAAATGCTCAGTTGGGCAGGGGGCTTGGGTAGTGTTTCCAAATTCCTGACAGCTGTTAAACTTTGGAATTCAGGAATAAGGAACTAAAGTTCCTGAGAACTCTTAGGAATTCCCCAAATCATAAAGTATTTTGTATTTATTTTTAAGATTTATTTATTTGAGAGAGTGTGTGCATGTGAGTGAGGAGGGCACAGAGGGAGGGAGAATCCCAAGCAGACTCCTGCTGAGCATGGAGCCTGACACAGGCTCAATCTCACCACCCCAAGATCACGACTTGAGCCGAAATCAAGAGTTCGGTGTTCCACTGACGGAGCCACTCAGGCATCCCAAAGTGTTCTGTATTCTTAACACTTTATTTATAAGTTTCTGTGTAACTGTGAGCGACCCTAATACCAACAGATCAATTTTCTGTGATGCAGTTATACTGAGAATTTCAGGGGTTGTCATTTTAAAAATGACACAATAATAAATATAGTGAGTGTCCTGGTAGTGCCATGAAACGGCGTCTGTGTGAAGAGGGTATGTTTTAACACCATGGGAAAATCCTTTCTGTCTGGTGTAGCATTTGACGATAGAAAGCACTAAATAAATACCAAATAAAATTGATTTATAAGAGTGGAAGATACTGTTATAAGCACTTAAAAGTTATTCTCAAAACAGAATTGTAGCACATGAGGCATTCACTGCCCTGTCAGTCTGGATCTTTGTCGGCAGCCTGTTCATCTCCCATTGGCCTTGCCTGCCCTATGCAGAGCACATGAAACATCTCCAGGTTGTACAGCACAGATGTGTTCTTTCATTTAAAAAAAAAAAAAAAAGCTTTATTTTGTGATAATTACAAATTCAGAATTACAAATTCTGAAGTTGCAGAAACAGTAAAGAGAGGATCACGCACCCTTCCCCTAGATTATGTAGCTGTAGCTCCCGTCGAGGTTGGACGAGAATGCTTGTGTGCCCCGTAGGCCTTTGACTCTAGTCTGGGTGTGCGCATGAGCTCTGTGCTGCAGTAACCCCAGGTAGGTTCCTGCCGCCACCAGGAGCCCCCATCCAGCCACCAGAGCCTGTTCTCTGCTCTTGTCTTCTTGTCATTCTGAGAATATGGTAAAGATGGAGTCATGGTGGGTGACAACTGAAGACGGGCTATCTTGGCTCAGATGGTGCCCCATGGCCATTGGGCACTTCCCCTCACTGTGGAGGAGCCACCTGGACACACGTGGTATCTGCAGCCACTCACCTGTTGAGGATGTTCAGGCTTCTTCTTGTTTGGGGAGTTTATGAATACAGCTCTGTGACCCACCATGTAAAGGATTTCATGTGCATGGAAGTTTTCCTTTCCCTGGATAGACGTCTGGGCAGGTGAGTGTGGTCGGGTCCATGCTTCCTCCCAGAGAGCTGCACCCCTGCTCCTCCCTGCACTCGCCAGCCCTCAGAGCTGTCCCTGTCACCATCTCAGCCCTCACTGTGTGAGCAAGCTCCAGGCCCAGGGCTGTGCCCAGCACAGGGCTTGGACTCAGGACCCTAAGATAAGACATGAGCAGAGATCTAGAGCCCGATGCACTACTGCCTGAGCCCCAGTGGCCCCATTCCTGCTGTCCTTCTGGGTGAGCAGTGAGGGCACATTGTGGCCTAACCGGTGTCTTTCCAGTGGCCCACGATGCCAAGTGCATCCCCTGTACTGTTTTATCATCTGTGCATTCTCTCTGGCAAAGTACCTATTCTGAAGTCCTATCTTTTATTCTTTTTCTGATTGTGTAGTTTGTTTTCTTGCTGTTGAATTTTGAGGATTCCTCACCCTGCAGGCATGGCCCTTGGCAGGGCTGGACTGTGCAGCCTCCTGGGCAGAACAGAAATCTGCTATTTTGTCTTTTATGGACCGGATTTCACTACCCTTTCTAAACTCTGCACCAGGCCTTCAGGCCTAGAATTCCTCCTGTGTTTTTTCAAAAAGCCTGAAGTTTTACTTTTTCTTTTTTTTTAAGATTTATTTATTTATTTTAGAGAGAGAACGTGTGCATGTGCAGCAGGAAGGCGGGTGGGGGGGGCGTGCAGGGAGAGGGAGGGCCTCAAGCCTGCTCCATGACCCTGAGATCACGACCTGAGCAGAAATCAAGAGTCAGACCTGCATCACCTGTACCACCAGACCCCCCTGCACTTTCATGTTTAACCTAATGAGCTGTTTTGGGCTAATTTTTGTAAAAGGTGTGAAGTTTAGGTAGAGGTTTATTTTCTTGCTCATGGGTATTCAGCTTCCCCACTGTCATTCATCGAGGAACTACCTGTCTCCCCTGAACGGTCCTGGCATCCCCGAAAACCATGGTATATGCATGAGGGTTTGTTTCTGGGCCATCCTATCCATCGTCTGTACGTCTGTCTTCATGTCAGCACTGTGTTGCGTTGATTCCTGGAGCTCTGTGGTCGGTTCTGAAATCAGGGAGTTCGAGGCCTTGGCTTTGTTCTTCTGCAAGATCATCTGGCTATTCAGGGTCCCCTGAGATCCGCAGGCCTCTCGGGACTGGTTTTCCTCTATCTGTGCACAAGGGCGGTGGGATTCTGACAGGGATTGCATAGACTCTGGGGTTCACACCAGGTGGTGCTCACAGTTCAACAATGTTCAGTCTTCCAGTCCATGAACATGGGATACGTTTCCACATACATAGGTCTTCTTTCATCTCTTTCAGCAATGTTCTGTGGTTTTTGATGTACAAGTCTTTCATCTCCTTGGTCCAGTTTATTCCTAATATTTTATTCTTTTTGATGCTATTATGAATTATTTTTCTTAATGTCTTTTTTTTGATGGTTTGTCATCACTAAATAGGAACACAGGCGACTTTTTGTGCTATTTTTATATCCTGCAAATTCATTTATTTATTTATTTTTTATTTTATTTTTTATTTTTTATTCATTTATGATAGTCACAGAGAGAGAGAGAGAGGCAGAGACATAGGCAGAGGGAGAAGCAGGCTCCATGCACCGGGAGCCCGACGTGGGATTCAATCCCGGGTCTCCAGGATGGCGCCCTGGGCCAAAGGCAGGCGCTAAACAAGTGCACCACCCAGGGATCCCCTGCAAATTCATTTATTAGTTGTAACGGTTTCTGGTGGACTTTTTAAGGTTCTCTATATGCGAGATCATGTTGTTTGCAGGCAAAGATGTTACTTCTTCCTTTCCAGTTGTGACGCCTCTTACATCTCTCCTCTGCCCGCGTACCCTGGTTGGGGCTTACAGAACTATTGAAAGGGCTGAGGGCAGCCATCTGCTAGCTTCCATACATGGCCTTGAATATGGTGGGGAGGTTTCTTTTCATTAATAGTTATGGGTTTCTTTATATATAGGATTTTTTTTTTAGGATTTTATTTTTAAGTAATCTCTACACCCCATGTGGGGCTCGGGCTCATGGCCCCAAGATCAAGAGTCACAACATGGGACACGTGGGTGGCTCAGCAGGTTAGCATCTGCCTTTGGCCCAGGATGTGACCCTGAAGTCCTGGGATCAAGTCCCACATTGGGCTCCCTGCATGGAGCCTGCTTCTCTCTCTGGCTGTGTCTCTGCCTCTCTCTCTCTGGGTCTCTCATGAATAAATAAATAAAATCTTAAACAAAAAAACAAAAACAAAAAAAGAGTCACAACGTTCCACTGACAGAGCCGGCCAACACCACCCCCCTTCCTTTTTACTTCTGTAAAATCAATAATAGTGCCCTGCTATCATTTCTGATTTTGAGTCTTCTCTGTTTTTTTCTTTGTTCATCTAGCTTTGAGTTTGTCAGTTTTGTTGATTGTTTTCCCAAGAACCAACTTTTTGGTTTTCTTTATTTTCTCTTCTCCGTTCTATTTATCTCTCTTCTAATCTCTATTATTTCCTTTCTTTTTTTTTTAAATATTTTTTTAATTTTAATTTATGAGAGAGAGAGAGAGAGAGAGAGAGAGGCAGAGACACAGGCAGAGGGAGAAGCAGGCTCCATGCACCGGGAGCCTGATGTAGGATTTGATCCTGGGTCTCCAGGATCACGCCCTGGGCCAAAGGCATGCGCCAAACTGCTGCGCCACCCAGGGATCCCTCCTTTCTTCTTTTTGCTCTGGGTTTAGTTGCTGTTCTCTTCCTAATTACCCAAGGTGTAATGTTAGGTCCTTCACCAAAAGAACATAAAGTCTTAACAAACTGAAGATGTGGAGGAAGGACCTCAAATGCGTGTTACTAAGAAGCCAATCTGAAAAGGCTTGCATACTGTATAATCCCAACTCTGTGACAGTCTGGAAAAGGTGAAACCATGGACACAGTAAAAAGATCACTGGTTGCCAGGGGTCGGGGATCCCCACCGACACGGCGGACCATGGGCATTTTCAGGGCAGTGACGGTACTCTGCGGTAGCACAGTGGCAGTGATGGGTGGCATGTATCCAAACCCACACAGTGTACCATGTGAAGAACCCTGCTGTGCTCTGTGGGCCTGAGTCTGTTGTGATGACTGGAGCCATGTCAATGACGAGGGAGGTGGCTGTGGGAGGTAGGGGAGGAGGGTACACGCTGGACTCTGTACTTCCTGCTCAGTTTCCTGTAGGCCAAAATATATTTAACAAATAAAGTCTATAAATGATTTAAAAATAGATAAATATAGTTAGGGCCTAGATTTGAGCTCTTTCTTTCTTTCTTTCTTTCTTTCAAGATTTTATTTATTTATTCATGAGAGACACAGAGAGAAAGAGGCAGAGACACAGGCAGAGGGAGAAGCAGGCTCCATGCAGGGAGCCTGACATGGGACTCAATCCCGGGTCTCCAGGGTCACACCCTGGGCTGAAGGCGGTGCTAAACCGCTGAGCCACCGGGGCTGCCCTCTTCTTTCTACCAAGCATGTCAATGGCTGTGGGCTCCCTCTGCACAGCCACTGCACCCTCCCTGCACATGGGATATTGTGTTTCTCTTGATCTCAGGGCTTCTTCTTGGCCCTGTGGGTAGTTGAGGAGGGTGTTGTTTAGTTTCCATGTTTGTGAGTCTTGTGGTTCTCCTGTTAGTGATTTCCAGTGTCCTACCATCATGACCAGAAGAGATACTCTGTGTGATTTCAGTCTTAAACTTTATTAAGACTTGTTTTATTGGGCAGCCCCGGTGGCACAGTGGTTTAGCGCCGCCTGCAGCCTGGGGTGTGATCCTGGAGACCCGGGATCGAGTCCCACATCAGGCTTCCTGCATGGAGCCTGCTTCTCCCTCTGCCTGTGTCTCTGCCTCTCTCTTCGCTCTCTCTGAATGAATGAATGAATGAATGAATAAATCTTTTTAAAAAAAAGACTTGTTTTATTGCCTAAACTAGAGTGTGTATGTCCTAGAGAATGTCTAGGGCTTTGTCGTTGTCAAAATGAGTTCTGGGGAGCCAGCGGGGCGCCCCTGGATGGAGTCCTGGACTGTGTAGGCCCCGCAGGGCAGAGCATACGGTCTGGGTGGATGGCGGGGCTGTGGCCTGTACTCCCCAGGGGCTCAGAGTTAGCCTGTCGGTGTGTTGGCCATCAGGATGCCCTCTGTGACCCGCCGTCCAGGCCCCAGCCCTTCCCTACCACCCATGGTGGCTCTTCACGTGGCCTGGGCCTGTTGGCTGCCAGCACTGCATGCAGCTTGGTCTCTATATTTGATTTTTTACTCTTTTAATGATGTCTTTTGACAAACAGTTCTTATTTCTGATGCAGACCAACATAGCCATTGTTTTCTTGTATTGTTACTGCTTTTGTTGTTCCTAATGGAAGATAGCCTTCTACTCACTCCGTGGTGTTAGCTTCCCTTCTCGCTTTACAGTCCACTGGGCTGTTGGTCATGGTAGGAGGGAGAAGTCAAGATTGATTTTGTCTGTGGGATTCTTCAGGACTCAGACCATCCTCTAGAGAGATTGCACCGGGCCCGCTGCTGTGCTGACACCTTTGCCGAGAGCCAGGTGCCCGTGTGTAGGTGGCCTTCCCTTCTGGAGGAAGATACGAGGCTGATAGCCATTTTCTTTATCACCTGAAGGTGTACTTCCATTTCCTCAGCTCCCACTGTTGGGGGAGGAAGCGGTCTGGCAGCCAGGCCGCAGTGCGTGTTCAGGCCAGGGCAGGCCGGGGCAGCAGCCTGGCTGGATGTCCACTTCAGCTATGCCCCGCAGAGCCACAGACTCAAGCATGGCTGAGCCATCCTGTCTGCTCCCTGTGCTGGACCTGCCCACCTGGCCTTAGGCAGCCCCTCCTAGTACTGGCAGGAGCTGCAGCCCTGGTGAGAGCCCAATGTCTAGGCCAGGGTGTCTGCATGGGAGGTAGGTGCCAGTGGGCAGGTAGAGCCCAGCCTGGGGTCCCTGAGGGCCTCAGGGCCAGATCACATCACTGCTGTGCCCAGCAGAGCTCGGCCTCTTCCCGTCAGACCCCTGCAGGTGGCCCATGAGAGTTTATGGCCAAATGTGCAGGCCCCCAGCAGGACAGGCCGCCAGGATGAGCCTTGAGAGGAGTTGCTTCCCTGCACTTGAGTTGGAGGCACCAGTCCGTCTAGGTGCCCCACCATCGTCCGCCACAGCCCATTCTATGAGCCTCTAGGAAAGCATGTATGGGAGTACAAAGAAACCTCCCAGGGCTTCTGGGTCCTCTCCGGCTCAGGCTTGCAGGTGCCCATTGGCAGCCTCCAGTGCACACGAGCCCTTGGTGACCTTTCTGCAGACTCTGCTGCTGGCATTCCCGGTGAGGCAGGCCCTGACCCCTGTGTCTATGTAAGCATCCTAGAGGAAAGGTACACGCTGATTCCAGAGACATGAGATGTGAAAAGAGGTGCATTTCCACATGGGTGCATCCATCAGTACACCACATTGAATCCAGATGGCCTTGCTCATCTGGGTTGGGGGATTATGCAGGCTGCCCTCCCCAGCCCCAACACACACACACACAGAACCTCAGGGTTGCAGAGATCTGTGTCCTTCCTGGGCAAGCAAGGGGACAGTCAGAGAGCTGCCCCAGTGCCCGTTGAGCTCTTGAGCTGGTATAGCCCTCACAGCACCGTGCACAGCATTCGCTCCTGCACCACATGGCCTCACTGTGCAGAGGATCCCCTTCGGGGGATGGAGGGAATGCTTGTCCTGGGAGGTGGGCTGCCAGGATGGTTTTCTGTAGTTCATGTTTGTGTTTTCAGGCCCTGTCCTGCTACTGACCAGCGACAACATAAAACAGCGCCTTGGCTCCGCTGCTCTGGACAGGTACCAGCCTCTGTGTGGGGACAGCTGGCAGCAACCCGCACGTGTGCTGCACACCTGGCACCTGCACTCCCTGCATCCCCTGGTGTCATTCTGCCTGTGCCTTATAGCCCTGTGTCTGTGCGTACTCTGGCATCTGTGTCTTCTAGTATCCACGAGTACCGGCTGTCCAGCTGGCTGGGGCAGCAGGAGGACATCCACCGGATTGTGCTCTACCAGGCAGACAGCACACTCACACCGTGGACCCAGCGCTGCATCCGGCAAGCTGACTGCATCCTCATCGTGGGCCTGGGCGAGCAGGAGCCAACAGTGGGCGAGGTGCGAGGTGGGCTGGCAGGGGGTAGAGCGAAGCAGGGCTGCAGGCTGGCAGGTCCTGCTTGGGACGCCTCTCATCACACCCCTCTGTCTCTTTGTCTTTTCCTTTGAATGAAATATTTCAAGAACCTGGGAAAAGACAGATAATCAAAGTCCACACCCACGTATCTGCTCTGCTCTGCGTGTTTTGGAAACATTTTGCTATATTTACCTCTGGTGGTTTTAGCACAAGGCAGGACAGGTGCCCTGGAGCAGCCCCCAGGGAGCTTCTTGTGAAGCTGAGTCTTGTGTTTTACTATGAACGTCCACAGCACTGTTTTTCAGGTCTAAATTTGATAAAAATAGTGTCCTATTTTATATCACTTTGAAATGTTCTTTTTTTCCTCAACACTTAGGTGTTTAAGCTTTCTCCACATAGTTTCACTCGTTTTTATGGCTGTTTAGTTTCTTTTTTTTTTTTGCTGTTTAGTTTCTTATTTGTGAGTCTCCCCTCCCCCCATCTGTTCTCAGCTGGGAAGTTGCATTGTAGGCCCACTTTGTTTCCAGCTTCAAGGGTGTGAAGTATCGGCTGGCCGTCCTCTCAGTGCAGTTACATTCCCCAGTTCCTTCTTCTCTGACCTGGGGGCAGCTAAAAATTACCCATCTCTGAAATAGGCTCCTCTTCTGTGGGACGATGGAAGGGACAGTATGTGCAGATACATCATTTGAGAAGGTCACAGTGTGTGCCCATAACGTGGTGTCAGAGCAGCCGACGGGAAGGGGTGCCCACACCACCCGCGCGCCCCCGCAGCTCCTCGTGGCCAAATGTACCTCCCCAGTGTGAAGCAGGCACATGTCCCAGCAGACCCCAGGGTCATAGCCTGAACCCAAGGGGCAGAGCTACTGCCCAGCTGGCTCACAGGAGCAGGATACCACCTGCCAGGTCCCTGGCTTCCACCCTTCTGCCTGTGGGGCCTCTGACTGCCCAGCCCCAGCCTCCGCCCCGTCCTGCCCCAGCCCTCAGGCTCTGCTCTCCTGCAGCTGGAGCGCATGCTGGAGAGCACCGCTGTGCGCGCCCAGAAGCAGCTGGTCCTGCTGCACCGGCAGGAGGGGCCCGCGCCCGCCCGCACCGTGGAGTGGCTGAACATGCGGAGCTGGTGCTCTGGCCACCTGCACCTCTGCTGCCCACGCCGCGTCTTCTCCAGAAGAAGCATGCCCAAGCTGGTGAGGTCCAGGCGCTGGGCTGGCCCCATGGGAAGTCCTGGCCTCCCCCACTTGCTCTGTGACTCAGTAGTGCATTTCCTCCCTGTTCCCTCTGTGGGTTTCTGTTGTCTGAGCTCCTTGGGCACTGGTGGGAGCAGCTTGCCTCTCGGTAAGCTCACACTTACTTGAGCTTAAGCTCTGGGAACAGGACCTGGGAGGTCACTGATGTGGCCGCCGTCCATCAGCAGGTGTCCATCTATGGGGTCATGGAGAGGAGGCCTGACAAGGACACACTGGCACGCATGGACCTCCACTGGGAACCTGGAGGGAGAGTTGGGGGCAGGGGAGGTCACCAGAGCCTGCCAAGGGGCAGGAGGGGAGCCTCCTCAGCCCAGGGGGCTTGGGGCCAGGTGCCCAGAGGCTACCCACATGCTGTGGCCTGCCTGGCCCCACAGCTCAGTGGGTAGTGTCCCTGCAGTGGCATCTGTGCCCGGAAGCCCATGCTCTCTGCTATGGTGGGGTTGGGGCTTGGTGTCCCTTTGGGGACAGCTCTCTGGGGGCTCTGTGGGTGGGTGACCCTGCTGCTCACACTGGCCCCTCACCCATGTGCCCCAAGGGCCTCCTCCCAGGCAAGCCTGGGCACCAAGGAGCTGCTAGGGTCAGTATGAGATGGACATTGCTGCACCTGGAGGGGCTCTGGGTCTGGAGTGGGACCGCAGCTGACTGTCTGCTGACTGCCCCCCTCCAGGTGGAAATGTACCAGCGCGTCTTCCAGAGGCCCCCGGATCGGCACTCAGACTTCTCCCGCCTGGCTCGGGTGCTGACCGGCAACGCCATTGCCTTGGTGCTAGGAGGAGGGGGGGCAAGGTGAATTCCCACCCCAGCCCCACTGTCGCTGCTAGCATGTGTGCTTGTGTGTGCATATGTGTGTGCACGCATGTGTACATGTGTGTACATGTGCATGGGCATGCTGATGAAGAGGCCTCTGTACATGTCCTGGGAGCAGTGTCTGTAGACAGGCCCAGCGCATGGCCAGCTGGTTTCCGCATGGGGTGCAGGTCACAGCCAGGGCCTCCTGTCGGCTCTCCCAGGGTGTGATGGTTGCCCATGTGGTCGGGCTGTGTCTTTGCTAGAAGTGCCTGCTTGTCTGCCAGCCCTTTGTGCCACCTCTGAAAACTCTTCTTATCCTTTGCCAGTCTTTCCATTGGGCTCCGGGTGAGTTTCTTTACATTTTAATATACTTTGTAGAGTCATGGCCTGACATGCTTGCAGACCTAGTGCAACACCCTCGGTTCTCTGGGCTGTTGAGTCCCATAGAGGACATTCCCCTAAATGATTGCTGCCCTGTGTCTGTCACTCGAGCACTTGCCACCTTTCTCCTGAACTGAAAGAGGAATGTACTGGAGCAGTACAGCAGTACAGGAATCTCCTGGAGCAGGAGAGCAGCAAGGGGACCCTGCAGGGAGGTGTGTGCAGGTCCAGGTCTTCTGCAGGTGAACCGGATGCACATGCAGAGGCAGAGCAGTGCCCCCACATCTGAATTGGACCCCTGCGCCTCAGAGGGAGGGAGAGAAGGCAGGCAAAGGGCACCTGCGCTGGGTCCTGGGCTGGGGGTGCCCTGTAGGATAGAGTTCCTCATGCCCCCTCCTCTCTGGCCAAGTTCCCGAACCTCCCGAGCACCCTGCACACACACCCCACCCTCCCAGCCCTGCTGCTACACTGGCCTCTCCCTGGGGCTGAGAAGAAGGTGCCTGGCTCAGCACCTCCCCATCCCAAGAACATCCCCCCCAGAGTGAGCTGAAGGAGGGAGGGGCTCGGCAGGACTGGAGCCCATCAGCAGTGCCATGGGGAGGCTCTCCGTGGTCTCCTGCCTGTGGAGCCAGACCCGTGCTCACACCTGGCAAGTCACAGTGCAGCCTGGAGGCCAAGAGGAACCAGACGCTCTGCTCTAGGAAGGGTCAGGACCATGCGGAGGAGCCTGTCTGAGCCCACTGACCTACCTGGAAATCACTGGGGCCTGTGTCTGGCCTGAGTCCCTTATGGCAGGAGAGCGAGGTGCGCACAGCCCTGGCCTGAGTGGTGTGGCATGAACACTGCTTGCGCACCCAGTGATCCCGAATATTCTAGTACCTGAAAGCAGCCAGCAAGCCTGGAAGACCTGGTGACTTGCCCAATGTTGCCAGACTGAAGGGGAGACCAGGCCACTTCCTGGGGACTGGGACACTGAGCTGGCCCATACCTGACCCTGGTTTGTAGACTCAGCAGCGTGTTTAATGAAAATTTAGTTTTTGTCAAGATGATGCTTAGTTTAAAAGCCACGTGCCCCCCGCCCCCCCAGGGCTATCCTCTGCCACCGTCCTCCGCCTCCAACACCAAGCCCAGGCCTCACTGCTCACCTGCATTTCCAAGCAGCATTTCTGTTCTGTTTGTTTGGCTCTTTCAGTTTTAGATGATTGAGCCCTAGTATATCTGTCTGTCCATCATCTACCTGCCCACTATCTGTCCATCTCCCTGCTCACCACTCACAGTCCCAGCTGGTTATCACTGGGTCTCTTCCTCCCCCAGCGCTAAGTCAGTTTGTTGCTCTGTGTCCCATGTGTCCTTTCCTGTGACTGCCATTTGCTGTTTCTGGGGTGTCACCAATTGGCGCCCAGACACCCTCCAGCACTGGAGCGTCCATGTGCACACAGCCATCCAGGCAGCCTCTACTTCCCTGTGTGGGACCGCCCCCCCCCAACTCCCGCCATCTCAGGGATGCTGGGATGCCATCGGAGCTTCCCTTCACTGTTACCTGGGACCTCGAGTTGTACGTCCCATGTTCAGCTCCATTTCCTGGACCCCTCATCTCCCTCTTTCCTGACACATTCCTGATCTGGGGCGTATTCCTTAAGGGATGTTTGGGAAGCAAAAGTTCTTAAAACCCTGTGTGGCAGGAAATGCCCTTGGCATCAGTTTGGGGGGGAAGCCAAGATGGAAGTCATGTCCCCTGAGAATGTCTAGGGGTCCTGCTGTGGTGTTTGGAGCCTCTGGCACTGCGTCGTTCCTGAGGCCTGCCTTCCCTCCGGAGGCTATTCTTGCAGGGTCTTGGCCACTGCCTTGGGGCAGGCCATCCATTTGCTTCACTGGGCGGGCTCCAGTGGCCCTTCCAGATTTAGGACTCATGGACTTCAGGCCTGGGGGTATTCTGTGGTGCACCCCACGTGGGCTGGCCCTCTGTGCCCAGGGCTCCCGTAACGGGCACCCAGGCACTCCCTATCTCTCCCTCGTTTTCCATCTGTCTTTTTGTTCTACTTTCCTGGTGATTGTTCTCAGATGGATCTTCTAAAATATTTCTGATGTCTGAGTGCTTTCTCCCTGGTCTTCCCTCTGAGTGCGAGGCTGGGAACTCAGAACAGGCGAGCAGGTGCCTTGCTTGCTGGCCCTTTACACTTGGCTTGCTGCCCCCTCCACTCCACAGGCAGCTGGGTTTTCAAGGGGAAATAGGTGTCCCTGCCATGGGGCTCCATGCAGCCTGCACCTGCGTACAGTGTCAGAGGGCATCTCTGTGGGGCTGACGATGTCATGTGCTTGGCTGGGCAGTAGCTGCTCAGCTGCACTGATGTTCCCTCATGTTTAACGGCTGGTGTGTCTCTCGTCTCAGGTTCAGAGGAGTGGTTTATGCAGTCTAGATATGAGCCTTTTGCCAGATATACTTATTGCTAATTTTCCCTCTCCATCTTTGACTTTTCATTTTCTCTGTGGTATTTTTTGGATAAATAGTTTTTAATTCTGATGAAGTGTGATTTTCCATTTGAATGGTCATTGCATCTGGTGTCCTGAGTGCCCTGGCCTATGCCAGGGTCACCAAGGTGTCGGCCTTCCCGGCAGCTCTGGGAAGCAGCATGTCCCTTCAGCCCTGACCCACCTCATGTTTCCTGTGGTGGTGCCAGCAGCTCTGGCTGAAGGCTTGCCCTGCCCCGAGACCATGTGTCACCGCGTGGCTCCAGTGTGACACATCCATCCTTCCTGACATCACCACCACCCGTCTCCACTGCTTCGTGGTGAATCTTGACTTCAGGCGCTGCAGATCCTTCCGTGTGTTTTTTGCCTTTTTCAAAATTATTTTTGGCTCCTCTAGGTGCTTTGCATTCCCATATAAATTTTTAGCATCAGCTAAGTATCTTATGGGATTTATTTTTTCCTGTAGTAAATGGCATCTTTTAAATTTCAGTTTCAAAGCGTTGTTGCCAGTACATAGAAACACAACTTATATTTGTACATTGATACCGTATCCTACAGCCTTGCTAAATTCACTTATTCTAGTGGCTTTTCTATAAAAGATTTTTTTCCCATTTCCTATATAAAAGTCATATCTTTTGGGAATTAAGGCAGTTTTTCTCTTTCTTTCCAAAATATGCTTATGTCTTTTGTTCTTTTTCTTGCCTTGCTACCCATGGAAGGGAAAGCATTGGCTTCTGTCTCTGACTGTGGCGTTGGCTGCAGCTGTTTGCAGGCGGAGGCCGTGGCCTCTGTTCTCAGCTTGCTGGGGGAGCATCTGTACATCTGTTGAGGTGCTGAACTAACATTGGGTTTTACACGAGAACTGACCTCGTGTTCTGGGGACAGACCGACTTGCCCACAATGTGTTGTCCTGTTTCTGTATTGCCAGACTCCCTTTGAACCTGAGTGTGCTTGTCTGTCCTTGCTTGAAATGCATGTAGGTTTGTGTGCTGGCTTCAGAGTTCGGTTGGAAAGCACTGCTTTATTTCCCCATATTTTCTGAAGGTTTTTATGTAAGGTTTGTGTTACTCTTCCTTAAATGTTCAGTAGCATTCACTAGTAAAACCATCTGGACATACAGTTTTTTTTTTGTGAAGATTTAAAAATGAAAGGCTCAGTTATGTTGATGGTTATAGTACGATTCAGATTTTCTTGTGTCAGGTTTGGCTAGTCACGTTGTTCTAGGAATGTGTCCATTCTGTCTGCATTTTCCTACTTACGTGTGAGGTTCACACCTACCCGTCATGTTTTAACTGGAGTGTCTGCAGAGTAGCCCCTCTGCACGCCCGACACTCCTGCCCTCTGAGTCCATCCTCTCTGCTCTGTGTCTTCTGGTTCCTTAATGTCCACCCTTCACTGTGTTATTTCTGTAAGTTGAGTTGTTTGATGTAAACTGTCGTTTTTCCCCCTGAGTCCTGGGGAGTAGGCCCTGCCCTCAGAGGACGGGGAGGCCAGCCCCCTGCCCCTGGGGAAGCAGGTTGCCTTCTGTTCTCAAGCTGCTCCCAGGTATCTTGCTTCTTGGGTTTCCGGGAATATGGGAACAGTCTTATTCTGGTTTGTGCTTAGACTTGGTCCTGCTCCTTCAATGTGAGGCTTGAGGTCGAGGTTGGTGCCTGCAGACCAGCGTCTCTCCAGGCTCTGCTCCTGCCCACTACCCTTTCTGGGCTCCTCCGCTGATCCTACACATTCTCTCCACATGGACGGACAGCCATCCCATGGAGCAGTCTTCCTGGCCACCCAGAGCACCCTGACCCTCAGCCAGCAGCTTCTGCCCTGCATCTGTTCAAGGGGTGCCCTGGGTGTGCCTGGGCTGCTACTCCCCTGCTGAGCACATTCCTTGTACCAGACGCCATATCTCTGCTTCGCAAGTTGCCGCTTGGCCCCATCCTAGACTTTTCAGTTTTATCTCCAGGGGTCAGTCTTGTCTTTAATTTCTGCAATTTTGTTTTAGGCTTATACATAAGTATTCAATTTTTTTGTGGCAATATTCAGTATTTTCTTTGAATAGTGTTAAAATATGCATGCTGTAAATCTAGTGTTTTAAATATTTTAAAATGTGAAATTGGGTGGCGTCAGGTGTATTCACAGTGTTCATCACTAGAACTTTCCATCTCCCTGCGCTGAACCTGTGCCCTGCCCGCCCCATTCTCCACTCTGTCTGTGGGTTTGACCCCTCCAAATCCCAGCGTGAGGAGAGCCCTCGTCCTTCTGTGTATGGCTTCTTTCACTCAGCATAAGGGGCTCTATCCGCCCCCATGGTGACTTCATCAGGATTCCTTTTCCTCTCTAAACCAAGCAGTGTCCCTCACAGTGTATGAGGTGCTTTGCTGACTCGTCCACCCATCGGGCACGCAGACCCTGGCACTTTCTGGGCCTAGCCGCTCTGTGCCGGGTCATGGGTCCCTGGCTCCCTCTGGGCCCATCTCTATGTCTTCCTGGCTGTGGCCACGTGGCCTGTTGTCCTCCGGCTGCTCCTGATGGGCACCATCTATGAGAAGGCTCAGGTGATGGCTTCGATCTGACCCTGGCTCCCCGGTCCCTGTGTGGGCTGCTCTGGGTGCCCTCCGTCAGCCCCGGGGCTGCTGCCTCGAGGGCACTGATCAGGAGCCCTCCTGGTGGGCCATGGTGTGTTGGCCACCCTATTGAGTCTGCACATAGCCTGTTGAGCTTTGCTGCTGCTGAGGCACTGAGAGGCACCCCGGTGGCATCCACAACCCCCCCACACACACACCCCGACTAATGCAAGAGGTGGGCGCTGAGGAGGAGGGGGTGGCTTGGGACCACTGTCTCGGGCGCCTTTTGCCAGCGCATGCGGGATTGTGTGCCTGGCTACAGTGCTCACTCCTGCTCTGTACTCCTGATTGGCGTAGAGGCTGTGCCCAGGTTGGCATCATCCGGGCCCTGGCAGAGTGTGGCATCCCTGTGGACATGGTCGGAGGGACATCTATTGGGGCCTTCATGGGTGCCCTGTACTCCGAGGAGCGGAACTACAGCCAGATCCGGATCCGGGCCAAGGAGTGGGCTGAGGTAAGGGGCCTCTGCTGTCCCCAGGGCCCAGCGCCAGGCCCCTGGTCACAGTTCTGCAGGGCCCTGGCTTCGGGTTTGTGGGGTGGTCGGGGATGAGGAGCCCAATGAAGTAAAGATATCAGTGTTGGGGGTCGGCTCTGGGTGGTGCCTGGTCTTAATTTTATAAAGGTCACTAAGGACAACGTGGAGAGGTTGGCGCCATCAGAAGGAAATGTTAATGGCACCTGTAGTCCTACATCCCACAGGGGAGCACCCATGCCTGCGAGGGGCAGACAAGAGCCAGGGGAAGGCCTAGGCCAGAGCCCTTATTGGGGTTTCTGCAGGAAGGGAGGAGGGCAGGGTGAGCAGCTTCCCATGGGTTGGGGTGTAGGGCTGTTCCCAGCTGGCCTGACCCTGGCTGATTGCGGCAGGGGGTGAGAATTTGATAAAGCAAGTCCAGGTGTGGGCTCGGGACCGCTATTTGCCAAGACTCCCCAGCGGCGAGCTCCTGCCTTTGCTAAGCACCAGCCAGCCCTGCAGCAGTGGTGGCCTCTCCCGGGGTGCAAAGACCCCCATGCAAGGGCCCCAGGGACAGAAAAGGTGGGGGGCAGCGAGGACGGCTGGGAGAAAGGGAAGCTGCCCACTGGGGCAGCTCCATGGGTGGAGTGGAGCATGGGGGGAGCTCACTGCCACCCTGTGGTGTGGTCTGCACCTGTGGCTCCCTTGTTCTCATGGAGCAGGACAAAACCCTGGCTAAAACTCAGCAGGGCCAAAAGTATTCGAATTTTCCTTCTAGAAAGGAAGTTGGTCCTGTTCTGTAGCAGAAGCTGTCAGAGCAGGTTCTGTGCCCCACCCACGTGGCCCCGCAGACACTTCAGAGACACCCCTCAGTGGCCACTCCATGAGGGCTCCAGGGGCTAACGCAGCTCGTCACGAAGGGTGGTGTCAGACAACAGGCGGTGGGGGCCATGTGCTTCAGCCTCAGCGTCAGCTGCATCCGCTGCAGGTGTGGGCATGGCCAGGGGCTTTGGGCCTGATTGCCCCCATTGTCCTCGGTGTGCCTTGGGCCAAGGGACCCTGCAGAAGGCTACTCTACAAGGCAGGCAGGCTGTCCCTCTCTCCCTACCTGTCTGCAGGAGCCTCTGGTCTCTTGCCATGCCAAGAGCCACCAGCTGGCCTCTGCAGGCTCTGTGGCACTAGACAGGGGCTCCTTGAGGAGTGCCTTGCTAACTGCAGAGGACCCTGAGTCGCTGCACAGGTGTTCCTCTGCCTGTCCTATTCCTCTCAGCGTGAGCATGTTGGGGGGCAGCTCACCCTTGGCTGGGGGCCCTCCCCGTGTATGGCCTGTGTTCTGGGCTCTTCTGTCTCAGCCCTTGTTTGCACAGAGGCAGAGGACCTTCCTCTCCATCCCTGCCCCTTAAGAAGTCAGGCAGCCTTGAACCCAGGCGTTCTGGGGGCCAAGCCAGCATGGCCTGCCCTTTACCTGTCCTGCTCCTTGCAGGTCTCAATGGCCCCATCTTCACTGAGTAAGGGTGGGCCTCAGTCCCACAGAGAGAGAAGACTGGGGGCTTCGGCAGAAAGGGCCACTGCTTCCCAGACCCCGATGAGAGTCTGCCGTGGTGGGATGTGAGCTGGGGCAGGGCCGCTGGTCACTCACCCACCAGTGTTGCCCTGGACTGAGCTTTGTCCTGAACACCCCCCAGACCCCCACCTGAACAGGCAGTAAGAGCCAGGTGTCAGTGAGCATCCTCACAAGACCTCCAGGCATTCACTTCCCCCAGAGATCCCTCGGGATGCTGTGTCCCTGCTCCCTTTCTGGGCCCCATGGGATCATCCAGGGCCTGTGCCAGCAGGTGGGGGGGTGCCCCTCATCCTCTGCAGGGTTCTCATGTGTGCCCTTCCACTCAGGACATGACATCCATGGTGAAGACAGTGCTGGACTTGACCTACCCCATCACTTCCATGTTCTCGGGAGCCGGCTTTAACAGCAGCATCTGTAACGTCTTCAAAGACCGGCAGATCGAGGTGCTGCCCCAAGCAGGGACCATCCTGGGGAGCCCCAGCTGGAGCCCACAGCCAGCCTGAGCCTGACTTGTGTCTGGACACTCAGCATTCTCCCTATCCCCTCGAGCCACTGGGCCTGCAAGGTCGAGGGGGGGCCCTTCTGAGTCCTGCCCTCCCCTTGCAGGACCTGTGGATCCCCTACTTCACCATCACCACGGACATCACAGCCTCGGCCATGCGGGTCCACACGGATGGTGAGCGCCTCGTCTTTGGGTTCCCTTCATGCAGGCCCAGGCGTGTATGAGGCACAGCCCCTACTCGGGGCAGAGTGGCTCAGTGGAGGGGTATTGAAGCCCCAGCACTGGGGGGCAGGCAGGCAGAGAGCCTGGTGGCTCCACGAACCAGAGGACACACCAGGGTGACCCAAGGAGGCAAGAAGCTCATGGAGACCTGAACACAGAGAGGAACTTGCTATGAGCATGAAAGAAATGGGCAGGGACATCAACAAGAATCTGGAAACACCCAGAAGCCCAAACTGGACACAGGTGGAGATAGCTGTGTGGGCTGAGAGCAGAGAGGAGTGAGGCGAAGGGCACACTCGGGGCACCTGTCTATGCCTTCAGATCAGCAGGTTCTGGGAGACGCGGGCTGGGCCCCAGGAGGCCAGGGCATGGCTGACAGCCAAGGGCCCCTTCCAGGCCAGAGTGGTCTGGGAGCCGAGTGCATGTGTCTCTTTGGAGGTGAGTGGGACAGGGGTGCTCACAGAAGGCTGTGGCCAGCCCTGTGTTCCCTCCAGGGACAGAGCCTCTCTGTAGAGGAGGAAGAACAGAAGGTGTGTCTGTCTGTTCAGGACAGGTGCTGTCCAGCAGACTTCAGGACCCCACGCTTGTAGGGCTCTGGGGGTACAGGGCAGGGACCCACTGTGGGCAGCGAGGGCTCCCCTCCTGCCCCTTGGCAGGCTCCAGTGACCTCCCCCATCCCCCAACTCCCTCACAGGCTCCCTGTGGAGGTACGTGCGTGCCAGCATGTCCTTGTCAGGCTACATGCCTCCTCTCTGCGACCCCAAGGATGGACACCTGCTGATGGATGGCGGGTACATCAACAACCTGCCAGGTACCACTGCCAGTGGGTGGGGAGGTTGTCCTCAGAGTGTTCTGGGGGAATTACAGGGCTCAGGGGACCCAGAGAACACGTGTAGGCACAGACATGCCCTTGTACACATGCTTGGGCACTGTGTGCTCCCAGCATATGGCTGTTTGTCAGCTTAGCAGCGCCCAGGACAAGGGCCAAGTAGAGGAGCTGAGAGCAATTAGGTCCCATCTGTGCCCACAGCCAGAATTAACAGAAAGTGCCAGGTTTGTTGTGGGTGAGGCCCCTCCGTTGGGCACACCTGTCACCTGTTGGACGTTTCTGAGGCTGCCCCTCTTCGGGCCCAGGAGTGACACTAGAGACAAGACCCTCTGGCCCTTGCAGGCTGTACCCCGTCCCTGCTCCAGGCCCTGCTCCCCTGGGGTTCTGCATGCCTGCCCTGGGTGGTGACCAGGACTGTCTTCCACCAGCGGATGTGGCCAGATCTATGGGGGCAAAGGTGGTGATTGCCATCGACGTGGGCAGCCAGGATGAGACGGACCTCACCAACTATGGCGATGCACTGTCTGGGTGGTGGCTGCTGTGGAAGCGTTGGAACCCCTTGGCCACAAAAGTTAAGGTCGGGGGCATAGCTGTGCCCAGTGCCCAGGCTGCCAGGTGTCCCCAAGGTGGACAGCATGGTGCTGCCCACACGCCTCCCATGGGCGGAGGAGGGTTGTAGTGCATTCTGGCCTCCAAGGCCAACGGGACTGCAGTCGTTTGCTCACTGTCCTTGCCAGGGATCCTGCCTAGACCAGCTCTGCAGAAAGGGGACAGGACCACTACCACCAGGACACATCTCCAGGAACCCTGGCTGGGTGCCTACCCTCCTCCCAGGCCTAGCAGAGATGTGCCTCCTTGTGGGAGAGGGGAGGGAGAGGGCCAGGGCACGAGACACAGGCAGCTGTGCCCCTACGGGGTTCCCGGGGCCGTGTGGGGACTGCAGAGCCACGCTCAGATGCTGTGATGGCAGCAGGTGTTGAACATGGCAGAGATCCAGACACGCCTGGCCTATGTGTGCTGCGTCCGGCAGCTGGAGATGGTGAAGAACAGCGAGTACTGTGAGTACCTGCGTCCCCCCATCGACAGCTATGGGACTCTGGACTTCGGCAAATTCAACGAGATTTGTGTGAGTGCAGCTGGGCTGTGGAGGGTCTGTGGGGTCTAGAGCCTGCCTGCCCTCACTCCTGGGCTCAGAAGTGGGGGCTCCTGACACTTGGTCCCGGGGTTGCTGGTGTGTGTGCAGGAAGTGGGGTACCAGCATGGGCGGACAGTGTTTGATATCTGGGGTCGAAGCGGTGTGCTAGAAAAGATGCTACAGGACCGACAGGGGACAAGCAAGATGACAGCGTGTGACGTGAGTGCCCAGTTTGCGCCCCTGCTTCCCTTCTCACCTTCTGGGACTAGTCCTCTGCCTGCCTCGATGGGCCTGAGACATGCACAGGGCGGCCTGTGGTACTTCAGCACACCCTCTCAGCCGCTCAGGCCTCTGGCGCTAAGGGTGGGGGTGTGGCCCTGTCGGGGATACCTCTTAGCCTCTCCCAGCATCCCTTCTTTTTGCCCCCCTTTGGCTCTATGCTGCTCGTGGTGGAAGAGGATAGGGGTCTGCTCAGGCCTCTGCTCATCTTCCATGCCCCTGCCCCAACTCTAGGGGTCCGGGAACCTCAGCAGGCTGGGATCATAGAGGCTTGCAGAGAGGGGGCTGTGGGCCTGGCCAGGCAGCCAAGGGCTGTGGTCTGGGGGACCAGGCCACATGTCTCCTCCATCTCGGCCCCCCAGGTCCTCACCTGCCCCAATGCCTCCTTCACTGACCTTGCCGAGATTGTGTCACGCATTGAGCCCGCCAAGGTAGCCACAGTGGATGGTGAGTTGGACACTCAGGACACACACCTGCATAGCTGAGGGTGGTGGTAGCCAAGTCTCCTTCTAACCCTTGACACGCCCGACAAGCTGCCCTAAGCCGCCAACCTCCCGGGACCTCCTAAGCTGTAGGAGACACCTGGGGCACCATGGCATGGCCCCTGCCCTCAGGAGTCGATCAACACGGCCCTCCCCTCTGCCCAGATGAGTCTGACTACCAGACAGAGTATGAGGAAGAGCTGCCAGATGGCCCCAAGGACGCCTATGCTGACTTCCAGAGTGCCCCAGCCCACCTGGGCTCAGACTCGGTGAGCTGCCCAGCCCCACCTTTGCCCCTAGGCTGAGTCAGCGCTCAGGGCTCCAGGCAGGCAGCTGCCCCGTCCCTGCTGACCTACGGCGGTGCAGAGCCAGACAAACCTGGCCCAGGTTCAGCCCTCCAAGCTCACTCCCCATTTATATTGTGTGGTCTGCCTCCAGGAGGACGAGCCCTCGTTTCGGCATCGGCACCCTGGTCTAGCTTTGCAGAACTTTCCTGGGACTCCTGCTTCCCCTAACACCCTGACCTAGAAGTCTCCACTTGGATGCACCCCACAGCAATGTGTGCCACAGGCCTCCTTCAGAGGCCCTGGCTCCTACCGCTCCTGGGAGGAGCTGCCAGGAAGACCCGGCAGGGGTCCAGGGCCCCATGCACCACTGAGCCCAGCATCAGGCTGCTTTGGGTGGCTCTGGCCTGTGTGCACCGGCAGCTTGTGGTGGGGCGCCGGGTCCTGGCACCCTCTGCACACACAGCAGTCCCCAGGGCTGTGCCCGCCTCTTCGGGGCTCCCAAGGCCTCTGAGATGTTGGAGCCCTGGTGCATCCACTTTGTGTGTCAATAAAGGTAGATCTGATGGTGTGTGGACGTGTCCGTCGTCAAGGCCCCTGTGGCAGAATGCAGCACGACGGGTCCCAGTGGAGCCAGGGAGCAGCCCTGGCCCCCATCACTGCTCCACCGGTGGGCGGGGGCACATTCATGAGAGTGGGCTCGCCTGCTGTCCTCCGAAGTCACCATGTGGGGACCCCAGGCACCCCTCTGCTGGGGCTTGGGACCCTCCAGCAACCACTGGCCAGACAGGCAGGACGCCCCGGGTGCGGCCTGGGGCTGAGGCGCCCCGAGCTGAAAGGCGTCCACCCTGATGTCTCGGGCACCTTTCCCGCGGAACATGGGCTGCTCTCCTAGGCTGTGTGCCGCCCATGCCCTCTCAGGTCGTTAAATAGCGCCACTGAGTGCTTTGTACAAAAGAAGGGACAGCTCTGGCCCTACCCTTGGGGTCCGCAGCCCCCGCAAGTCTCTGGGGGGCAGGGAGACCCCTGGCCCGACGGCCCAGGACCTTGAAGCCAAGTGAGCCTCAGCCTCAGTTTCTCTGGTTCCCACCACCCCCATCCCGACCTCCCCGGGGGGCGGAGCCACCGCCCCAGTTCCCTTCGGACGACCCATCGGGCCCCGACGTCACCCGCGGCCGCCCCCAGGCATGACGTCGTGGTGGGCGGGTCGCCTCCCAGCCCCGCCCTCCCGTGACGTCGTGGTGGGCGGAGCCGCCGCCCCCAGCCCCAGCCGCGCTCTCCCCGTGCGGCGGGACTCGCGGACGGCCCCGTGCGGCCATGCGGGTCCCGGGCCGGAGCCCCGGCGCGGTGCGGCTCCCCCGGCGGAGGCGGCGGGCGCGGGGCGCGCTCTGAGGCCGGGGGATGCGCCGCCGCCGCGACCATGGGCGCCGCCGCCTCCCGGAGGAGGGCGCTCAGGAGCGAGGCCATGTCCTCGGTGGCGGCCAAAGTGCGGTGAGTGCGGCGGGCCGGCCGCCGGGGCTCAGCGCCCGCGCCCTCCCCCGCGGCGGAGCTTCACGCCGCGTCCCCCTCCCCCGCTCCCACCCCCACCTCGGCGCCGCTCCCCTCCGAGACCTCACGACGCCCCCCCCCCACGGAGTGACGGGGTCTGGACAGAAGGCCGGCCTGGCCCCGGCCACGCTGCTCTGGGACCCCAGGGCCCCTGGAACTGCCACCTGCCAGCCCTGGGGTCTCTGGGGGTGGGACCGCACGGTCTGCCTGGGGTGACCCCGAACCCTCGCTCGCTGGTGCCCGGAGCCTGAGTGGGGGTGGGAGTGGGGGTGGGGGCCCCAGGCTCCGGTGTCGGGGGAGTCCAGAGGGGCCTGGGTGTTCTGACGGCGCACCCCGCTGTCCACCCTTCAGAGCAGCCCGAGCATTTGGCGAGTACCTGTCCCAGAGTCACCCTGAGAATCGGAATGGTGCAGGTAGGGGCTCTCGAAGAGGTGCCAGAGGGGTGGGTCTGCAGCCCCGCCCCACCCCTACGACCTAGGGATGCTGTCCGGGCCCCAGGCCAAGGGCCAGTCCCAACCCTTGGGCTGTGAGTTCGCCTGCTGCCCTGCTGGGCTGGCTTCCTCACGCCCCCTGCCCTCCCTGGCCCAGAACCCCAGGAGGAGCTCCGAGTCACTCATCACCATGGCACCCACCCAGCCTGGGCCGTTGGCATGGCAACAGGCCTCCTGGCACCCCCAGGGCTGGCACCGCTGTCTCTGGGGGCCAGCTGGTGGGGGGGAGGGGAGAAGTTGGCACTGGGCACACGGGTGCAGTGGTAGGCTGGGAGGTGGCCTGTTTATTCCTGTCCACCCCTGTCACCCACAGGTAGTACAGCTTGTCACCTCCACCCACACACACCCAGGGCCTGGGGCCCAGGTAGGAGGAGGGTGGGAGTCTCTGAGAGAAGTGCGCAGCTTGCAAACACCTTTTCTGAGGATGGCTGGGGCGTAGGATTTGGGCACTGGGGCTGGAGGGCAGCTCCCTCCACCGCTGGGCCAGGCACTCGCTGGGTGTTCTCTGCCCTCGCAGCACCAGGAGGGTGGGAGGGCAAGGCCAGAGGACTGCAGCTCACCTGCTGCCTCTCCCCCAGACCACCTGCTGGCCGATGCCTACTCTGGCCACGACGGATCCCCCGAGATGCAGCCTGCCCCTCAGAACAAGCGCCGCCTCTCCCTCGTCTCCAACGGCCGCTACGAGGGCAGCCTCTCAGAGGAGGCTGTTGGTGGGCAGCCGGCCGGTGAGGGCCCCCAGCCCCGTGTGTACACCATCTCTGGGGAGCCGGCCCTTCTGCCCAGCCCGGAGGCCGAGGCCATTGAGCTGGCTGTGGTGAAGGGGCGGAGGCAGCGGGAGCGGCACCCCCACCACCACAGCCAGCCCCTGCGTGCCAGCCCGGGGGGGAGCCGAGAGGACGTCAGCAGGTCCTGCCAGAGCTGGGCAGGCAGCCGCCAGGGCTCTAAGGAGTGTCCTGGATGCGCCCAGCTGGCCCCTGGTCCCAGCCCCTCCCCTCGAACCTTTGGGCTGGACCAGCCACCTCTGCCTGAGGCCACCAACCGCCGCAAGAAGCTGGAGAGGATGTACAGTGTCGATCGTGTGTCTGGTGAGGGCAGGCCCAGGGGCGAGGGGTGGGTGCCAGGGTTTGCTGGCGACAACCACTGTCCAGGTCATGGTGTGCAGGGTGCCATGCAGCATTAAGTCAATCCAGGAGTGCTTCCTGCAGGAGGGGGACCAGGGGAATCTTGAGGATTGAGCAGGCACAAGACATGGCTTAGTTAGATCAGGCTGCCTCTGGGGAGTCTAAGGACTCGTACCTGCCCTGGGTCCCACTCCCCTCAGGAAGCACATGGCCATCTGAGCCTGGCCTGCCATCGGGCACCCCCCAGGATGGCTCAGCTGTTGGGAGGCTGGTGCACCCTGGAGGCTAACTGTGTCTAGAGGAGAGCTCTGTGGGACAGCGAGCAGCCCCCCTGCCTGCTGGCCCTAGGTCACCTCCTGAGGAGCAGGCTGCCAACAGCTGAGTCCCCACATCATCCCAGGATGCCTTCTGGGCTTCATGTCAGCACAGCCTGGGCATCAGCATGGCCTGGGGTATGCGCTGCTCACCTCAGACCTCCTGCTCCTCTGATGGACACAGCAGGAGGCTGGGGCAGGGGTGAGGCTGAGAAGGAACAGCACGCCCTCCTCCACCCTGTAGGGCCCATAGAGGTCCTGAGAAGGGAGGCCTCTACCCCAGCCCTCTTGGAATGGTCCCAGGGCATGGAGGGTGCAGGCAGCAGAGCAGGCCCCAGAGCCTCCAGAGGCTGCAGCCCTTGTCCCCCTCCCCCTCCCTGCCTCACCAAAGGGAAGCAGAGTAAATCTTGGCCCTGGACACCTTGGACACAGGCTGTGCTTCCAGAGCAGCGCTCCTCAGCCATAGGCAGCTCCGGAGAGAGCTCAGCAAAGACCATCGTCACGAAGCTGCTGAGCTGTCTTGGCTTCAACAGCTGAGCAGGCTCATTTCCTGAGAGCCCCTGCCAGTGTCCGCCCACCTGGGAGAGGGTTAGGAACCTGGTGCCCTTCGTCCATGGGTTTTGGCAGAGCAGGTGGGAGTACAGGCTGTGGGAATTCCCAGCCACCCTCACCACTTGTTTTATCTTGTAGATGACGTCCCCATCCGTACCTGGTTCCCCAAGGAAAACCTCTTCAGCTTCCATACAGCAACCACAACTATGCAAGCGTGAGTCATGACCTGATACACAGCCACAGCCTGGACCAGAGGCCTCCTCTTGGAGCTCGCTGCTCAGGAACTACTGCCATACTCTCCCGCCCCCAGGCCCACCTGCCAGATGTGACCCCAGTGCCGAGGAAGGCAGGGCTGGCCGCTCTGCTCCCCAAGCCCCCCAGCTGCCTCTCCATGCCCCCCTGCCATGGACCTGTCCTCTGCTCTCCTGGCACTGGAGAGCCCTCATGGTCTTCCCCGGCCCTCACGGTCCTCAGGGGACTTAGCCTAGGCCTGCAGCCGCTGCAGGCACCAGTGGCAGTGATTGTTCTAGGCCGCTGCCTCAGCTCAGCTCCCCAGACAGCCAATGACCTGTGTCCTGTACGCACCCCAAGGGGCCATACAGCAGGAGCCCCTTCCCCCCTCCCCCGCTTGGGGCCTTTGGCGCCGTCTCCGTGACACATAGCTGGGTTTTCTAGAGAGGCACCCCTGGCTGCCAGGCTCCCTCCCCTTGTGCTACCCAGCGGGGCCCACCACAGCTCTCAGGCTGGCTGGGGGCAGCCCGACCACATCACAGCACCTGGTGGCACAGGCCAGTGACCTCCACATCCACTGCCCTTTTGTGGGCTTCCTGCAGCATAGTTGGTGCGCTGCCCATACCTGGCGTGCGAGTGAGGGACCCTCAGAGTCAATGACAGGGAAGGCAGTAACCGGGAATCTTGGGGACTGCAGGGGTCGTGGCTCACTGTGTCTTCTTTCTCATGCTGCCCCTCCCGCCGCACCTCCAGCATCTCGTAAGTACCCTGTGGGACCTGAGCCTGAGAGCACCGCGGCTGTCCCTGGGGGAACCCTCCCAGCCCCCAGTAGGTTTGGGCAGGCCAGGGACAAGGGCGTATTGTGCCCCAGCAAGCACCAAGGCCGTGGCAGGGCCTGCCAGGTGCCGGGCGGAGACAGGGTGAGACAGGCCAGGACCCTTCTGCCTGGCCCGGCGCCCTGGATGCCCCTCCAGGCCCTGCGCTCATGTCTCTGTCCCCACATCTCGGTCCCTCCTACCTGCGGCCAAGGGCAGTGCTGACTCGTGGTGGTTTCCCAGGGTGTTCAGGGGCTACGCGGAGAGGAAGCGCCGGAAACGGGAGAATGATTCCGCGTCTGTAATCCAGAGGTAGGGCCTGCCAGCCACTCGCCACCAGGGTCCGTCTCTTGTCTGTGCTGGTCTGGCCTGGACCCACTGGGCTCTGGCAGACCTGATGGGGGAAGGGCGGTGGCGACCACTGGCCTGGCCCTGCTCTGGGGACGCAGCAGGCAGGAGAGGTCATGTGACCTGGGCCGCCGGGCCTGTTTTGGGGGGTCCGTTGACAGCCAGCTAGCCCACCCATGTCTCTCTCTGGCCTTTGAACCCCAGAGCTGTGGGGTCAGCAGCAAGCCCCACCTCAAAGATGTGACCAGAAACCTTGTCCATCTTGGACACTGGACCCTGGCTGGGCACAAGTCTGGGGGCAAAGACCCGTCTCAGGTGGCCCAGGGACACCGGCAGGGAGGGAGTCTCTAGGCTGCACACCTGCCTGGGGTTGGTACAGGCAGCTGGTCTGCCCTGAGCACTGGGAGAGGGGGAGCGGGGCTGGGAAGGCATCGGTGGGTCAGGGCTTCCAAGGGGGCGGTGGGCAGGAAGGCACAGGTGCAAGGATTTCCATCCCTAAGGGGTGCAGGCAGGACCTCGGGCGACATCAGGCCTGGCCGTGGGCAGTAGTGACAAGCAGAGGGCATGGGGGGGCTGACCACCGCCGCCCACCCTGGCGATCCTCAGCAGCCCCCGTGTTTCTTACCCAGGAACTTCCGCAAACACCTGCGCATGGTCGGCAGCCGGAGGGTGAAGGCGCAGAGTAAGACCCCGGGCAGGTGGGCAGGTGGGCGGCGCCGCTCTCCACCAGGGCTTCGCGGGCTGCTCGCTGCTCCTGAAAGACCCCGCAGTCCTAACCCCGCCAGCACCCTCCTCCCCGCTCCAGTACCCGCCCCCCTCCATCCCCTCCTTGGAACCTAGCTCTTAGGCTCCGCCTCTGGCTCCAGGCCCCACCCCCAGCCCCTCCGCACGGTCCGCCTCTGGCCCCGCCCTTGGCCTCTGACCACCCCTCTTGGCCGCCCACCTTCAGCGCTGGCAAGTTCCGGGGGCACCGCTAACCCTGCTCGCCCTCCCTGGGCCATCAGGGGGCATCCAATGACCTTCCAGGTCCCCAGGGGGTCGTGGGGTGGCCCAGGTCGGCCCGCTGCTGACCCCGCTTTGCTCTCACTGCAGCGTTCGCTGAGCGGCGGGAGCGGAGCTTCAGCCGGTCCTGGAGCGATCCCACCCCCATGAAAGCCGACACTTCTCACGACTCCCGAGACAGTAGGTGCCGGCGCAGGGAGGTCCCCTAGGCCCCCAGCTCCTGCGCTGCGCAGGGTCGACCTCCTGCCCCGGCAGCTAGGCTTGTGCGCTTCCGCTCTCTGAGCCTCATTTACCCCCCCTGAGGTGGGGGCGCTGGTACCACCGACCTCGTGGGCAGGGTAACTAAGGGCAGGGCTGTGTGCTGCACCAGCTCCGGGCTGCTGAGTGGCCAGGGCTGCACTGCCCACTCCATCCAGGGCACCCACTCACCCGATTTCACTGGCCTCCCCAGGGTCCCCAATGCCACAGCATCCAGTGGCAGTGTTGCCAGGCTACTGGTGGCCTGTGTTGGTCTCTGTCACCCGCCCTGGGTGCTGGCTGGCCTGAAGGACCCTCCAGGAGCCTTCAGTGTGGGCTCTGTCCACCCCATGTCTGCGGGCTGCAGCTGGGGGTACTGTGCTGCTCTGCAGTCCTGGTGACCCATCCTGCCCCCCAGGTAGTGACCTGCAGAGCTCGCACTGCACCCTGGGGGAGGCCTTTGAGGATCTGGACTGGGAGACTGAGAAGGGCCTGGAGGCTGTGGCCTGTGACACCGAGGGCTTTGTGCCCCCCAAGGTCATGGTGAGGTTGGGCCGTCTGCCCTGTTCCTATTCCAGCCCGTCCTGGGCTGGTGGGGGTGGGGAGTTCCTTTTTCTTCCAGGAGCCCAATTGGCTCTACCTGCATGTGATACAGCCACAAGGCCTCCCCGCAGCCTCGAGGGGGGTGGGGGGCAACCTTGGGGCCCTCCCACGACCCGGGGCTCCCAGGCGGCTGGGCCCTGAGCAGCTCCCCACGCTGTCTCCAGCTCATCTCCTCCAAGGTACCCAAAGCTGAATACATCCCGACCATCATTCGCAGGGACGACCCATCCATCATCCCCATCCTCTATGTGAGTGCCTCTGCCCCTGGGGCTGGGTGGGCTGCTGCCCGCAGGGCTCTGACCCCCATGTGGCCTGTATCTGTTTCAGGACCACGAGCATGCGACTTTTGAGGACATCCTGGGTATGTGGCCTCCAAGCCCCCCAGTGTGTGGGAGGGAGGGTCCCTGGGGAACAGAGCTCACACTGCCCCCTCCCTAGAGGAAATAGAGAAGAAGCTGAATGTCTACCACAAGGGGGCCAAGATCTGGAAGATGCTGATCTTCTGCCAGGTGGGGCTCAGCCTGTGGGCGGGGGCTGGGTGGGGGCAGTGATTGGGCACCCTCCGTGTGCGCCCCAGGGACCAACCGCCGTCTCCTCCAGGGTGGCCCCGGACACCTGTACCTGCTCAAGAACAAGGTGGCCACGTTTGCCAAAGTGGAGAAAGAAGAGGACATGATCCAGTGAGTGGGCAGGGGGGCCACCCCAGCCCCTGCACCCTGGCCCCCCATCCTTGCCCTGGGGGCCTGGGCAGAGGCCACCTGTGACCCACACCTCCCCTCACAGCTTCTGGAAGCGGTTGAGCCGCTTGATGAGCAAAGTGAACCCAGAGCCAAACATCATTCACATCATGGGCTGCTATATTCTGGGGAATCCCAACGGGGAGAAGGTACAGGGACACCCCCCCCCCCAGACCCTGTCCCGGGCTTGCGGACAACCCAACCCCGCTAACCTGTCATTGGTCATTCTACCCTCCTTTCTTTTTTAGCCCCCAGGGTACCTTGTGCTTGAGCCCCGTGGGGGGTCCTGCTGCCCCAACACTGTCCCCCACCCTCTCCCTCCCCCATCCTGAACTCATGGCCCTGCCCTGCCCTTCCAGCTCTTCCAGAATCTCAGGAGCCTCATGACCCCATACAGGGTCACCTTCGAGTCCCCATTGGAGCTGTCGGCCCAGGGTGAGTTTCCAGGCCGGTTGGCAGCCTCAAGTTGCATCCGGGAGCCAAGGCCTGAGTCCTGGCCTTTCTTCTTCTGCCCAGGGAAGCAGATGATCGAGACCTACTTTGACTTCCGGCTGTACCGCCTGTGGAAGAGCCGCCAGCACTCGAAGCTGCTGGATTTCGAGGACGTGCTCTGAGGGCCAGGCCTGCACCCGGCTGCTCCCTTGGACTAGTGGCTGGGGCTGGGCCGCGTGGGTCCCAGTGTTCACGGCCTATTCAGGGCACCCTCAGATGTCCCTCAGGTTCCCTGCCAGGGGGTCTGGCCCTCACTGCACCACGGGCCACAGAGGTCAGAGCCTCGGCCCACGCAGCCAGGGGTTGCCCGGCACCCAGACGCTGATGGGGCCTCAGCCCTGTACCGGGCAGCTCCTCAATGTGGGTTCATAGAAATAAGTGCAATTTTCACACCCCCAAAACAATTCGAAGGGAAGCGTTACTAGTTGAATAGTTCAGTGCTCTGTTACCAGTTATGGTGTAGACAACCCAGTCCGACATGTGTTCAGGACCCTCTCTGCCCCCAGCCACCCCCTAGCCCTGCCGTATTTGATCACCAGCACCAGGGCGGCCCGTCTGTGGGGCAGTGCTGCCCGGCTGTCCGGCCTGGCTCCAGCCCTGGCCGAGACCCCGATGGTTTGCGCTTTTGCCCTCTTGTACCCCCTGCTTCCTCTGACCTCAGCCACACCGGCCCAGCAGGGGCACCTGGGCAGTCGTGGAGGGGGCAGGCCTGCGCTGCCCTGGAGGAGGTTCTGGGTCGAGCTGGGTCCTGCCCGCTCCCCAGCCTCCAGCGGCCGCCACCCCAATGCTACAGTGTGGCTCAGCTCTCGCCTGCCCAGGTCTGCAGCACTCTCCCAGTGCACAGGGTTCCGCGGGGCGGCTGGGCTGGGTCCCGGGGGGCGGGCACCCCCGCAGCTCTGAGCAGCCAGTGGACTGCGGGCCTGTGGCCTTTCTGGGCCAGCTCTTGTATATAGCTGGGGCTCGGGGGCAGGCCCCCCTTCACAGAGCCTGGGTCTGAGGACACTTGGCTGTTCCCTCAGCAGAAGGAGGGGCAGGGGTGTGTGCTGGGCTCTGAATGATGTACGATATATCCCTTAGAGTGACCATTAAACCTGACCCTCCGCTGCGGCTGCCGCCTCAGTCTCCTCTCTCAGCACTGTTCACTGTCTCCAGGGGGCCAGGAACTTTGGGGCCTCCTGGCCTGGGGTGGCTGCCTGCACACCTCTGCCTGGACACAGAGCTGGGGGGCCCCAGACACTCCTGCTGAGGGGCATGCTCCACAAGAGGGTCTAGCTGTGGGGAGGGTGAGCTCCTTCAGGAGGCAGAGCCATCAAGAGGGGAGGGCAGATACCCCTACACCCTGCCACCCCAGCACCAAGCAGAGGGGTCCACCCACCCCTTAGACCCCCTTGCGTTATGGTCAGCGTGACCCTAGGACCAGCTGGCCGTGCTTTGCTGGCTGTGCCCAGTGCTCTCGGTTGGGTCCCCCATGGCCCCAGGATGAAGCAGCAGGTGCTGGGGGCCAGGAGGAGTGTGGGAGCCGAGCAAGTGGGCAGCTGATGTGTAGGTGGCGACGGGAGCAAGTGAACCCATAGGCACGTGGACCAGGTGCTATCCATGCTCATGTGCTGGGCTGTGTCATGTGCAAGGTTTCAGTGCCTGGGCCCTGAGCCCTGACGCAGCCGCCCTGCTCCCCCACCTGCAGCCTGTGCGGCGCTGCCTGGCTTCCTGTCCATGGGTGTCAGTGCCTGTACAACCATGAGGCTGGCGCTCCCCTCATGACCCAGTGGCCTGCATGTTGTGTGCAGCCCTCACCTGGGACCCACTGGAGCCTGGGTCCCTGCCCCTTCCTGTCCCCTGGCTTCTCATGGGCCCTGAGACGCCTCTGCCTTGATGTATGCCCCCTAGGGTCCCTGGGGAAGGCAGAGAGGGGCAAAGGGCGGCCAGCAGGTGACTCTAGGGCTCACAGGCAAATGTGCGGAGGAGACACCGGGGGAAGGTGGTGGCAGATGGGGCCGAGGCTGGCCGGGGTCACGGCTGCACCCCCCGCAGCAGTGAGAGGCGGGGGTGGAGATGGAGGGTCCCCCATCTACGTTCTGTGCTACTGAGAGTAGGGCAGCCCATGGGGAGCTGGGCAAGGGCATGCAGGGGCTGATAGGCACGCAGTCCATCAGGGACCCCGTGGGAGCCAGCGGGGGTACACGGCCCTTCTTGCCTTTTGGTTTGGCACAAACATTAGGATACTTGGTGCCCAGTTCTGGTGAGCGGGCAGAAAAGGTCCCATGGGTCATTAGAGCATTTAAGGAAGGTAGTCTGATGTGGGGGCATCTGGGCCTCTGGCCCTTGATCTGGGCCCAGGTCATGATCCAGGTCAAGCCCTGCACGGGGCACCAAGCTCAGCGGGGAGTTTGAGGTTCTCCCCTCACCTCCTCCCCTGCCCCCCGCACACTCGCTTCACTCTTGCTGTTTCTCTAATAAAGCTGAGGTGCGTGCATGTGTGGCTCCCGAGCAGCAACCCCTGCCCTGCCCCCCTGCCCTGCCCCCCTGCCCCACAGGCAGACGCCCACTGCCCTGGTTCGCGCCTTCGTTGGGGCCAGGCTGGGTCATATTCTGGGCTTTCCCAGAAGCAGGTGGTTCCAAAGGGCCGTTGATCAGGGGGGAGGCCTGCAGGCTTTGTCATAGTGAACAGGGAGCTGAGCAGCAGTGAAGGGAGTCCTGCTCCCTGACCCTGACCTGTGCACCCTCACAGTGACCCGAAGACCTGGCCTGGGGATGGTGCTCGTCTCTCCAGATGGCATGGGCACTACTGGCCTCCACCCTCGAGGCCTTGCTCAAGACATGTGGGCACCTGGCCTGCCCCTTTCAGGCCCTGCAAATGGGCGCTATGATAGAACACTGGGACCTGGTGTGCTAGGGGGGATGACATGAGGGGGGTGCGATTCCTATCCTGGGAGGTAGAGGAAAGGAGCTGTCCATATGGGGATGTACGCACGCCTACCCACAGTGGGTGGAGGGGGACCATGGCCAGGACATGCCCGCTACACCTCCCCATTGCCATCTCCAGCCTGGCCTCTGTGCAGACCCCTCAAGCACCCCTGCCAGCAGCACGGGGCACCTCTGCCTCCCCTGGAACCCTCTGGTGCCCCCTCATCATGACATTGAAGCTCGCACTTGGCACCACCACCTGCCCCCCCGCTTTTGGAAGGGACACGTGCCAACAGCTCCACTGACAAAGTCTGCACACACTAAGGGAGCAGGGCCAGCATGTCTGCGGGCCCAGGAACGGCAGCCATGCAGGCTGAGTACGGAGGAGGCGTGGAGGCCACTTGCAAGGATGTTGGTGACCTGAGCCCTGCGCTTAGGCCCTGCGCCACAGAGCGGCTGCTCCCGGAGGCGGGCCCAGCAAAGCCAAACGGGAGATGCGGTGAAGGGAAGGAGGTGCCATGGTGCGAGGACCACCCAGGCCGCAGGGGGAGGCCAGACCCCATTTCCCAGGATGGTATCCAAGTGGGAGCCCTAGGGACCGGCCAGCAGGGAGAGGCTGCAGCACCTGGCACCATAGCCAGGGTCCCAGACAGAAACTGCCAAGACGACGCACAGACGTGCAAACACGACAGGGCCGTGAAGAGGATGCTGCCTCCAGTGTGGGCGGACACGAGAAGGTGGATGTGGCCTTGCTCACCCTCCACTGAGCTATGTCTGCTGCTATCCCGGTGCTCAAGGGCTTTCCTGCCCTCCACGTCCCTAAGTGATCCTGCAAGTATTGGTTTGGGGATCACAAAAAAGTCTTGGTTAGTAGACAAAATCGTAGACCAAATTGTAAATAGAAACTCCACAAATAAGGAGGACTGTGTCAACAAATGAAATCCAGAAAAATATAAAGAAGAGAATGTAACACCACCAGAGAGAGTCTTCTGAGACTTTAAGGCCGGTTTTGTATCAAGAAAAAACCATGAACACCCTGTATCGAGAGTCTAAGGAAGGAAAAACCACACGGGCGTGTTAATGGACGAGGTGAAAGCACCAGGAAACAGAACTTTCATCGATGAAGAAAACGTCTCCAGCAAAGGAGAAGGGAGCTTCCTCAACTCAAAGGAGGGTGTCTGCCTACAAGCATTGCAAAGCTCCACGCCAAGTGGCTGAACGCTCTTCCCTCAAGGTCGGGGACAAAGCACAGGTGCTGACCCTGCACCTGCTCAATGTGCCAATAAGGCAAGAAAGGGAAATACAATGCAGGCCCATGGGAAAGGAAGTGGTGAGGCTGCTCCTGCCTACCGATGGCAGAGGTTCCAAATCCCGGGAACTAATGAGTGAGCACTGGGCTGCAGGCCAGCACCCGAGGACCAGCTGCATTCTTACTTGCTCCTCATGGACAGTTAGCTGAAATAAAATAATACAATGTAGGTGCCTGGGGAGCTCAGTGGCTGAGCGTCTGCCTTCGGCTCAGGGTGTGGTCCTGGGGTCCTGGGATCGAGTTCCGCATCAGGTTCCCCGTGGAGAGCCTGCTTCTCCCTCTGTGTCTCTGCCTCTCTGTGTGTCTCATGAATAAACAAGTAAGATTTTTAAAAATAATAATAGGATGTGTAATAGCTCCCACAAAAATGAAATACTTGGGTACAAACTAACAAAATACACACTATAAAATATAAGACCAAGACTTGAAAGTCAGACCTGAGACTATGGAATGACCAGAAGAAGCTCCTTGGTGTTGGTCTTAGTGATGATAGTCACCAGCACAAGAAATAAACAAGTGCAACTACATGAAACCAAAAATCCGCTAACAGAGGAGCCCGTCCACGGAGCAGACAGGCAGCTTGCAGATGAGGAAAGATCATTGCCAATTGTGTCTGCTGGGGGCTGGTGCCCAAAATTCACACGGCTCAGTAGTAAAAAACAAAAACAAAAAACAAAGAACAAGCTGATTAAAAGATGGGCAGAGGACCCCACAGACACGTTTCCAAGGAAGACCTCCCAATGGCCAATAGACACGTGGAAGATGGTCATACCCAGCTGCAAATCCAACCACAATGAGATGTTACTTCACACCTGTGACAGTGGCTCAAACCAACAACATGAGACACAGCAGGTGTTAGTGAGGACACAGGGCAAGGGCAAGGGCCTCCTGGCCTGTGGGCAGGGATGCAAACTGGGGGCCTCTGTGGGGATATGGGGGGCTGGTCCTCAGGAGGATGAAACTGGAGCCGCCCCAGGACCCAGGCTTGAACCACCAGACACTCACCCAAAGGAGACCAACATGCGAGTTTGAACAGATCTGTGCCTGCATCATCACAGCATTACTCAGGGCAGGATGGAGGCAACTTGTGTCCAGCAGGGGATGATCGGAGGTGGATGGGGCGGGTCCGTGGGGCGGAGTCCTGCTTATCAGGCAGATAGAGCTACAGCCTGTGACTCCCATACGCAGAATGTGTGAGACAGAGAAATGGGTAAACTTGGCCGTTGTGTTCAAATAAGCTGAATTCAAAAACACACATGTGCAGGATCGTGGTTCTGAAAACTAGAAATTCTGGCCAAAGAGAATATTTAAAAGACCTAAATCCTAAATAAACAGGACTGTGTTCGCAGACCCGAAGGCTGACACTTGTGAGGCTGTCAATTCTCCCTAAAATGGTCGCAGAAATTTCAGAAGGAGGTTTTGTAGCTAGAGAGGCTGGCAAACTACCTGGAAGCACATAGGAGCGAGGAGAACTAAGCAACTTTCAGGAGACATGAAGCTGGATAGGGGCTTTGCCGTGCTCTCAGGGCTTCCAGGGCATAGCAGCCAGAGGTACACGCCGGCCCCTCTCAGACAGACATGGGGAAGGCGGACACAGCAGGACCCAGAAGAAGGCCGCACACGTGGCCAGGTGCATGAGAAGGGGGCATGAGAGGTCATGCGGGAAGGAGGGTGCTCTCGGCAGTGGGGCCATAGTTGGGCCATCCCTGCATGGTGGCCGTGACCTTGGCCGAAACCACGCAGTGCATGCGAAACAGAGGCACTGTGGCTCTAAAGACACGTTGTGAACCAGGCATCTCGGAGACTAGCAGCTGGGCAAGAGCTTCCAGTAGAGGCAGGAAGGGCAGGGAGCACAGGCCCAGGGAGGGCAGCCCTAGGGCAGTGGGTGGGCACTGGCCTCATGGCCACAGACGGTCCTCCTTTCCTGGTTCCGGTGCCAGGTCGTGAGTATCCCTAGGTCAGTTAGGCCTACGCATACGTCAAGGGGGGGGTGTCTCCTGATGGACTGTCCTTGCAGCCGGGGGTCACTCAAGCCCCTGAGCCGAAAGCCGCCTCTTCAGACTCCTTGACTCTCATGGGAAGAAATGAAAGAATCCAGTTTACAGGGAGGAGATGTGACACGTCATCGGGGAAGATGCGTGTGCACATCAGTGCTGCACAGGTGTCCAGGATCCCAGCCATGGGGGCAATGTGAACCCATAATGAGGCTTCACCCATCAGATCAGCTGAAGTTAAAAATCATGACCCCAAATGCTGGGGAGGAGGCGGGAAGCTGGACCTTGCTGCAGACCTGGGCGGTTTGGAATCCAGGTCAACATGACTTGGCCATGTGCAGTGTGTCTCCCGGGGGCGATCAGGGCACCAGGACCTCCACAGCCACGGCCAGGGTGAAGACTCCCCAGATGCTTCCCCAAGGGCAGGCCAGCCAACATGCACCCCATCTATACGGACTGGCCCAGGCGCAGGAGGGACCAGGAAGCACTCTGCTCTGCGTGGGGGCCACCAGGCTCACCCAGCCCCGTGGCCAACTCCCAGCAACAGGACTGTGACCAGAGGCATTTGGCAGCGTGGGGGACCAGGGGGACAGGGCATGACCCAAGGGGCACGGGGAGGGGTGACTGGTGGTGTTCCTGTGTGTCTACACACGTACAAAAACAGAGCGACTTCATTGTACACTCGAAATAACTAAACAGCAGCACCAGGGAGCTGGGTGTCCCTGTCCTCCCTGGACCATGTGTTAGGCCTCCTCAGGCCTTTGCTCTGGCCAAGCCCTGGGTCACTGGACTCTGACCTGCCCTTAGGCCAAGCCCAGGCTGCCCGCAGGGGAGGGCAGGGTCAGAGGGCAAAGTCTGTGCGTGCAGCCTCCAGAGAGGGGTGGGGGCCCCTGGGCGGGCCACTGAGTGGGGCAGGTGGGGCGAGGTCATAACCCTGGGGGGTGACCCTGGGGGATGGGGGTGACCCCTCGGCGGGGCCTGAGCTCACTGCACAGAACTGGTGGCCAGTCTGGATTGGGCATGAACAGTCCCACCGGTGGGGACCCTTCCCAGACCCTGTCACCTGCTGCTGAGGCCCAGGTGGAGGAGGGTGGTGACCAGCAGAGGGACGGAGGCGGGACAGCACTTGGCAGGAGCCCAAGGGACGGGAGCCACCCAGCTCTGTCCTCGCTGCAGCAGTCTCTCTGGCAGCACAGGTAAGGGGGGGCTGTCCCGGTCAGAGGGGGGCTGTCCTGGTCAGGAGGGGGCTGTACTGGTCAAGGGGGGCTATCCTGACAGTGGAGGAGTTTGCCCATCCTCTGGCTGGGGGTCTCAGGATGCGTGTTCTTGGGGGGAGCTCTGAGAGGGGTTTTGGCATCCCTGGGCCCTGCCTGTGATCTGCATGCTGGGTGGGGACCCAGGCTGGGTCTCCTCCGGACCTGACAGGCCACCCACCTTCTGAGTCTGTCCCTCCTGCCTTAAAATGGGACCCTCACCTCGCAGCCCATCCTGTCCCTGGTCACTGGGGGCCATGGCCTCATGGTACTACCTCCCCTGCCCCTCACTCAGCTTGAAATCACCTGCGTTTATCTCCATTTCTGTGAGGGTCACAGTGGACACCCAGTCGCAGGACCCGTGCTAGAGAGCACGGGAGACCCCAGGGAGTGGTGCCTTCGGGGGGGACACCAGGTGCCTAGACTCCTGAGGGCCCCACACACGGCCTGGCCTGGGGTGTTGGGGCCCCTGTGCCAAGTGCGTTCCTGGCTCAGCCCAGCCAGTGGCCCAGAGCCCGTCTGGAGCCAACTAAACCATTTCGGAATCCAATGACAGAAGCCAGGGGTTGTTTTTGGTTTTGTTTTTTTTTTTCTGGGGGGAGGGGTTGGGTTTTCAACCAGAAACCAGCGTCTTTGTTCCAAGCTCCCCGAGCTCAAGGTCCTTAGTCATGACGTGCTCCTCAGGCCCCTGCCAACCACACTCCTCAGAGGACACTTGAGGCTCCCTGGACCCCCAGCCAGGCACCTATGCCCACCAGGATCAGGTTGGGGCTGCAGAGAGGAGGCAGGAGGGCGGCAGAGGAGGGGGGCTGGGTCCCTTGAGGTCAGTTGCGCTGACCTGCAGTGCAGGACTCCTTCCCCCAGGAGGGTGGGGGAGGGGGCTTCCTAGAAGACACCATGGCCCCGGCATGAGGAAGAGGCTCCTCTGGATGCCACCGCCTCACCATTGCTCATCTCAGGCTAGCCCTGGCCCCGTGGCACCCCAGGCAGGCCTGGCTCTGACATGCTGGTCTTCGGCCCTGCCCACCAACCAGTGAGGATAGAGACCCACCAACCAGGAAGGACAGAGACCCACCCACCAGGAAGTATGGAGGCCCACCGACCAGGGAGGATGGAGACCCAGTGACCACGGAGGACAGAGGCCCAGTGACCAGGTAGGACGGAGGCCCACCAACCAGGGAGGACACATTGACCTTCCAGGGCAGGCAGCGTCTGCAGCTGCAGCACAGAGAGTCTGGGTGCCCACAGGTGCCCCCTCTGCAGGTACCCAGCCCTCATGGGGCCAACCTGGAAGCAGCGGGTCCTAAGCACCCTGCTGGGGGCCACAGTGGCCTCAGGTCTCACCACGCTCATCCTCATCCTGGTGGAGGCCACCAGTGTCCTCCTGCCCACAGACACCAAGGTAGGCCCTGGGCTGGGGCAGGAGGAGGCTGGGCAGGCGGCACCCTCCTGACCCTGCTGTCACCCTCAGTTTGGGGTCGTGTTTGACGCCGGGTCCACCCACACGTCCCTCTTTGTGTATCGGTGGCCAGCAGACAAGCAGAACAGCACAGGCGTGGTCAGCCAGGCGCTGGCCTGCCAGGTGAAAGGTCAGGAGGCAGCACCGTCAGCGGTGTGGGTGTGGACAGCTGTGGCCTGCTCCCTGGGTGGGATTCACGTGCGGGGGGGCAGGAGTGGCACCAGCTGGGGGGAGGCCGGAGCCAGTGGGGGCTGCGTTCGCATCCTTTAGCAAGTCAGTTAATTGACCCGAAAGAAAAGTGGTCAGAGAGGTTGAGGGAGTGACCTGGGTGGCTCAGCTCATGGTGGCACTGGAGCCGAGCTGTCTGCCCGCAGGGACCTGGCACAGCACCCACCAGCCTGTCATCCCCTCTCCCCGTGGCGTTGCAAGGCCTTCCCCGTGTGTGTCACCACCCCCTGTCCTCCCTTAGACAGACATGGGCCTTGGATTCAGGGCCCCAGGGAGCCTGCTGAGCCTCCTCTTAAGACCCTTAATTATATCTGCAAAGACCTTTTTCCCAAATAAGATCTCACCCAGAGGTCCTGGGATAAAGACACTGCCGGGCCTCCTGGGGGCACCGAGCAGCTACAGCCCTGTCCCGGGTGCTGTGTTTCAGGGCCAGGCATCTCTTCGTATGCCTCTGACCCTGCGCAGGCTGGGGAGAGCCTGCAGGGCTGCCTGGAAGAGGCCCTGGTGATTATCCCACAAGCAAAACATCAGGAAACGCCTGCCTTCCTGGGGGCCACTGCTGGCATGAGGCTGCTCAGGTGAGGGCGGCCCAGGGCCCAGTGCCCAGCGCTCGCAGGAGAAACCCCCAGGAGCTGAGGGGCCAAGGCCGCAGCAGGTAGGTGGGCGGCGGGGCCGTGGGTTTCCCACTTGGGCAGCTGGTCCCGTCCACGCAGCCAGAAGAATAGCTCCCAGGCCACAGCCATTTTTGCGGCAGTCAGCCAGGCCCTGGGCCGGTCTCCCCTGGACTTTCGGGGTGCTGAGCTCCTGACTGGGCAGGACGAAGGTGCCTTCGGCTGGATCACCATCAACTACATCCTGGGCAGGCTGGTCCAGGTGCCACAGCTGCCCCAGGGAGGGGGACCAGGGCTGGGGTTGGTGTGGCAGGTGCCGGGACTCACTGCACCTGTTGGTCCCCAGTACTCTTTCTCTGGAGAATGGATCCGGCCCCTGGAGGGGACCCTAGTGGGCGCCCTGGACATGGGTGGGGCCTCCACGCAGATCACCTTTGTGCCCAGAGGCCCCATCCTGGACGAGAGCAGTCAGGCCACCTTCCGCCTCTATGGCTCTGAGCACCGCGTCTACACCCACAGCTACCTGTGCTTTGGCCATGACCAGATGCTGACTAGGCTCCTGGCTCAGCTGGTGCAGGTTGGCCTGGCTGCAGGGAAAGGGGTGGGGGGCAGCAGGACAGCCTCTGGGCCTGTGCTAGGCTCCAGGCTGCCCCCTGACCTCTTGCAGGCCAGCCCCGGCCCCGTGGTCTGCCACCCGTGCTACCATAGAGGCTACCGGGCCATGCTGTCCCTGGCCACCCTGTACGAGTCACCCTGTGTGCATACCCTGCCCCCCCAACACGGGGCAGGGAACCTGACCGTGGAAGGAACGGGGAGCCCCACAGCCTGCGTCTCAGCTATCCAAGGCCTCTTCAACTTCTCCAGCTGCGAGGGCCGAGGACACTGCACCTTCGACGGGGTCTACCAGCCCCCCGTGCAGGGCCAGTTCTATGTGAGCACTGTCCTGTCCGCCCCCCGGGTCCCAGCCTCCTTCTGGAGCCCCAGGGGCCTGATGCCAGGTGGGGGCCTTGGGGACTCGGCCTGCCGCACACTGGGGCTCCCTTGACCTGGGCCCCCGGCACCGGCCCAATGCAGGCGCGCCCACCTGACTCCTTGTGCCCAGGCCTTCTCGTCCTTTTACTACACCTTCGCTTTCTTGAACCTCACGTCCAAGCAGCCGCTGGCCACTGTCAACACCACTGTGTGGGAGTTCTGCCAGAGGCCCTGGAAGCAGGTGGGGGACATGCGGGGTCCCCAGCACAACCTCCTGGTGCCCTAGGCTGCAGTAATCACAGGCACGACCCAGGCCATGTGCTTGGGTGGGTCCAGCCCCCATGGGACGGGAGGGGTGCATCCCCCGGCCCCTCACATGCCGGCCCCCAGGTGAAGGCAAGCGCACCGGGGCAGGAGCGCTGGCTGCGTGACTATTGTGCTTCGGGCCTGTACATACTCACGCTGCTGCTGGAAGGCTATGGCTTCAGTGAAGAGACCTGGCCCAGCATCGAGTTCCGCAAGCAGGTGATCACCTCCTGGGCCCAGCCATCCAGGGCAGGGGCTCTGGGGCAGCTGCCCTGACCAGCCTCGTATCCCACAGGTTGGCGGCACCAGTATCGGCTGGACGCTGGGCTACATGCTGAACCTGACCAGCATGGTCCCAGCCGCCGTGCCCGCCCAGTGGAGGGCCCAGAGTTATGGCGTGTGGGCAGCAGGTGCTGGCTTCATGGTGCTTACGCTCGGGGCCACTCTTGGAGCTGCTGCCGTCCACCTCCTCCGGACCCACGGCTGAGTGGGCCACCACCCACTGTTGGAGGCCCAGGCCCAGCTCCCACAGCCCGGGGCTGCCTTCTGCGCTACTGACCCATATGGCCTCCCTGTCCTGGGGGCCCTGGTCTCGCGCTCAGACGGCCACGCTCTGTCCTCAGGGTTGCTGTGGGCTGGTCAGGGTGTGCTGTGGTCCCCCTCCTGCTCCCTTCCCGCCTCCCCCTCCTGCCCCCCTCTGCTCCCCTCCCGTCACCCCCTGCTCCTCCCTTGCCCCCCTCAGCTTCCCTCCCACCCCCCTCAGACACCCCTCTGCTCCCCTTCCCCACTCCCTCTTTCTTCCTCCTCCCTCCCCAACCACCCCCCCCACCCTGCGCCTCCCTCCTACCCCCTCTCCCGCTCCCCCCCTGGTCACCCAGTCCTCCACCACACTTCCCCAGGGCAGTGTGGTCTACTGCATTAGCAGGCTGTGGGGCCCAGTCAAGCCCAAAAGTGGGGGTGACCTCGTGGCAGGGAGGGGCCTGGCTCCCTGGGAGAGGCGGGCAGGGCCTCAGGAGGAGGCTGGGGAGAGGCCAGCTGCAGCCCTGGTAGTCTGCTGCCTGAGGGAGTAGAATCCAGGCTCCATGGCCACTCCTGGGCTCCCACCCCCAGAAGTCTTTGTGGCCCCCAAAATGGACAAGCCGAGAATACAGACCACACTTCAGTGTGGGGAAGATGCTTTATTAAAACCCTCCTTGCCACAGGAAGAAATCATCCTGGGGCGATTTCTTCTCTGGATTTGGGGTGTCGGGCTCCTCACATGCACCATCCAGCTGGGACCACGAAGCACTTGGGGAAGATGCCGATGCGGCCGTCACAGTGGCCCTCCAGCCACGCCGGGTCCACTGCATGCAAGGGGACATCAGGGCCCCTCAGAGCATAGCAACTGTCATACACTCATAGAAGCCCTGGGCCCAGCAGCCCACTGACCTGCACACAGGACGTCCACCATGTCCCCCTGCCGCAAGTCTAGGTCCTCAGGCCCCTGGGCACAGTAGTTGTGCTGGGCCACCGCCTGGTACAGGACTGGCCGGCTGCCTGCTGCCTGTGGCAGGAAGAGGGGGCAGGCTGCAGGGCCGGCAGGGCAGAGACAGGCCCAGGCCCCCACCCCACAGATCCACACCCGCAGCTCCAAGTCTCACCCGGCACTGCAGCTGCAGTCCCCCGGGGCTGGCCGCTGTGTCTCGCCAGGCCCCCTGCAGTGCTTCCTCCCCGGGGAGGGCGACCCAGCGTGCCTCATGGCTAGGATCCCGGTAACTGCAAAGAGACCCCCCAGAGTGGGCGAGGGGCAGGGCTGCTTCAGGCAGGTGCTGACCTCTGACCTCAGCGGTCCCCATGAACCTGCCATCTGCTCACCTGAGCTGCCCATGCTGGGCCTGCAGAGGGAGAGCCTGGCTCAGCAGGGTCCGCAAGTGGGGCAGGCCAGCTCCCCAGGGGACCTTCAGGGCCAGGGTGAAGGCACACTGCACGGTGACCGTCACCAAGGACTCAGGGCCGCCCGCAGCCACCACCTGGGATGAGGCAGAAAGGCAGCCGTCAGCCTGCGAAGCCTGGAGCTGCTCGCTGGGGGCCCAGCTGGGATGGCCTTGGAGCAGAGGGGTGGGGGCTGCAGGCCAGTGAGGCTCCACAACCTGGGTCCCCAGGGCCGTCTGAGGGACAGGACAGCAACGTGAAGGCCAGTGCCTCTTACCCTGGTGCTGGAGGGGTCCTCAGAGGGGCTGGGCTCTGGCCTCCCTGCCGCCGGCGGGCCTGTGGGGTGACAGAGCAGGGACTCAGTTGCCCATTCCCCATGTGGAACATGCTGAAGCAGAGGAGCTCCTGTACCACAGACCCACAGCTTCCTCCCTCTGGGGCCTAAGCACCCCCGGAGGCCTGCCTGGGACCCCTCCACCCAGCGCTCCTGCTGACCACCCGCAGCTCAGGATGTCCTCACCTGGAGGAATGTGTTTGCCAACTTGCTCCATGCAGGGCTTCTGTAGGAAGAGCCACAGGCTGGTGAGGGGGTCAGGGAGGGAGGAGGGGGGCCGGGAGAGGGGGCCTGGGGGGGGCCTAGTGGGGGCAGTTTTCCCAGCAGACCCAGTGGTGAGGTTTACTGCCACTGACCCCGCTGACCAGCAGGAAGCCATAAATACAACCCACATGGAGGTGTATTCAGGGCATGAACCAGTCCCCACAGGCTGGAGACCACACACGTTCCTCACATCAGCAGGGTCGACCCCATCACCCACCCCAACCCCACCCTAACCCCCACCCTGACCCCACCCGACCCCACCACCAAGCACTATGAGATGGAGGCTCAAGCTGGGGGGCCCAGGCCAGGGGCCGACTGGACTGCACCTGTGTTGGACGTGCTGGGGAGACACCCCAGAGGGGCCTCGGGAGTCAGGCCATCCTGACTCAGACTCTGACCTCAGGTGGGGTAATGAAGTGTTTGTACCAGCTGCTTATAGCACCTCAGAAGTCGTCAGGAAGGCCGAGGCCTAAGACCCCATGCACGAACCCCATAAACATAGCCTTCATGCCTTGCAGGGATTCAGTGAAGCCCAGGGAACAGGGCCTTTGAGGGCTGAGGTGTGTTCACCCTGAGTTAACAGAGCATCAACGACAATGAAGAGACTCTTTTCTTACTGAGTCGTTGGGTAAACCATGTGTTAAGTCCAACCACCTTCTCCGTGTAGGGGAGACCCCCTCTCCTGGCGCAGGCCGTGGGCAGTGGCGCCACACACCTCTCAGTCCAGGAGGGAAGGCTGGGTGACAAGGCCTTGGCTGAATGGCCTGAGACCAAACGCACAGATGCCCAGGCTGCAGGCCAGCCACTCCCCAGGCCTGGGGTGGGGTGAGGTACCCCAGACTCCTGTCTGTGCCACAGGGACATCAGCATGCTCCCAGCTCAGCCACCTGGGCTGGCCCCAGCCGCATCTCTGGCTGGACAGGGGAGGCCAAAGGTCTGTCCCCAGCAGGCAGTGAGGCCACCTGCCCTGCCCTGAGACCCAGGCTGTGGCTGCTGGTCCCCATGCTCAGCCTGGGGGGTGTCCCCCAGCACTAGGGCCCCTGTCCCCCTGACCCAGGCGCACTCACCCGCTCATCGTAGATGACTGGCGCACAGTGGTCAGCCTGCGCCACCCGTCCAAAGCCAGCCTCTGTCCTTACACCAGGGAGCACGCCAGGACTGCCAGAGACGGCAGTTCCACAGAGGCCTGTGTCTCCAGCCCTGCGGGATGGGGGAAGCCCTGTTCCTCCCCAACACCACCAGTTCAGGCCACTTCCCTGCCTGAGAGGAGCCCCGAGTGTGGACATGAGGGGCAGCACAGGGTGCAGCACAGAGTGGGCCCCTGCTCTATGTCCCCCCACCCTCTGCAGACTTGAGCCCCACCCCCTCTCCGGGTTGGATGGCCCCTGCTGTGAGGAGGCCGGAGGGGTGAGCATGTCAGCCCACAACCCAGTCAGTGCCCTCCCTGGGTAGGGCCCTGAGCTTTGGGGCAACCAGCAGTGTCAGCTCCCCGCCGGTGCCCCCTGCGGCTCCTCATGGACTGGGCCTCTGGATAACAGGGACATGGGGAGGGTGGACAGAGGCTGGACACCTGTCCCCGGCCTCAAGGGCTCTGGCCACATCTAGTCTGCAGGGGCTGTGACAGTCCTGGCCTCTGGCCTCCGGGGCCACAGGGGAAGCAAGAGGCGGAGGTGAGACGCTCCTAACTACCATGGGGCAGGTCCAGGTCTGGCTGCATCCTTTGTGTCCCAAACCTGTAGGCCCAGAATGCTGTCCTGTCCCAGGATGCAGGTCCCCGGGGAAGGCCCAGCACCCCCAGGTAAGGTTGCATGATGTTCAGACTCTCACACACAAGAGGCCTGCCACTCCCATCCTCACATCAGTGACCATCGGGAACCCCCAAAGAGAAAGGCCTCAAGCGCTCAGGTCTGTACAGTGACAGGGGCACTTGGGGGCTGGCTGGAGGGCGCCCCACTCACCTGGCGCTGCTGACGCTGGGAGCCCTGGAGATGGTCATCAGGGATGGCAGAGGATACCACCTGGGGAGGGACAGCACAGGCATAGCTGTGTCAGGGGCCCCAGCCCCAACCCCCCAGGGGGAGTCTCCCACAGCCAACCCAAGGCTGCCAGACCACCACGGTGGGGGCCAGGACGGTGGGAAGAACACGTCTGACGAAGGACAACATGTGCGGATGGTTTCAGCCTCCTTTTCATACAAGTTTTGAAATATCTTTATTTCTCAGATGCCTGGTACTGTGAGAAGCAGACTGAATTGATTCATTAATGCAGCTCGGAGTCACCTGGCCCCAGCAAGCAGTGGTCATGAAGACAAGGTGTGTGGGGCATGTAGCCTCACCAGCTGTGTACATGGTGGCACACAGCACACTGGCCCCCGGTGACCTCGGGGGGCTGGGGCTAATCCAGGGCCACCAGCTTGAAACCCAGGCGAACTTCCCTTTGTGCACACAGGTCCCTGTATCCCACCCCTGCCCCCAGGGCTGTGATTTGGGTGACACTGCCTGGCCAGCTGACCTCAGCCCTACTGCGATCCCACTCTCTGGGGCAGAGATGCAGGGAGACACAGAAACACAGAGACTCAGGGAGGTGCTGAGGTCAGAAGGGTGTGGCTGGGGGGGCAGCACCACTTAGGTGCCCCTCTGCAGCCAGCTTCTGGTGGGTTCTGCCTGCTGCTTCCAAGAACCCAGGATCTGAAGCCCACATGGAGACCCTGCCCCCGACCCAGAAGTTCGGGTACGTCTGCAGCCTAGGGATGGCCCTGTGCCCACTGTCCACCCACCCACCGAAGGCTCCCTAACAACAACGACCCTTTGAGCTCACCCCCCGGCTGCTGCTGACCCCTGAGCACCCGGGGTTACCTTGGCCTTGCCCAGGAAATCCACGGGTTCCAGGTGCTCCACATGCCGCCTGTGAGGCCGAAAGACCTCACCCCTGGGGACCTGCCGCAGCTGCAGGGTAGCCTGTTTCTGGAGGGGGTCCAGCCAATGCAGACCTGAGCATCTGACAGGGCTGTGGCCTCAGGAACCGCCCACCCACTTCTCACACCCTGAGAGACTTCCCCAGCCCCCACACCTGGGCACAGGAGCACCTCCCTCTAGAGACTTCTTCAGCTCATACAGTTGGTCTGGGGGCGCTGGGACAGATAGGAGCCCTGGACGTGCGCTAAGGGGGCCTGGCCTGCTCTCCTCACCTGCACTTGGGCCAGGGCGGCACGCAGGTCTTCCCCGGCCCCCTCTGGCCCCTTGCAGAGGGCTTCCTCTAGGCTGCCAGCGGCCTCAGCCCACAGTCCCAGCGCGCACTGTGCCGCCCCCACGTTGAAGAGCACCTGGGAGGGAACGAGAGGTCACAGCCCTCTCCCTCGCTCGCTCTTCTGCTCCTGCCCCCCTGGTCTCACCCCCAGATCGGCTTCAGGCCCCCCGCCCCCGCCCCTGATTCCGCCCCAAGCCCCGCCCCAGACCCACCCCTGGCCCCACTCCCCGCGCCCACCGCCTCCAGCCCCGCCCTCCCCCCCCCCCCCCGCAAAGACCCCGAGGCCTCTCTGGGTGCCCGCGGTGCCGCGGAGCCCGCGGGCCGGGGGATGGGCAGCCGGCCTGTCAGCAGGTGCGGGGCTCTGCCGGGCCGACCTCGGTCTCCAGACCCGCAGCCGGAGAGGTAGGTTCTCTGCTCCGAGCATCAGGGGTAGGTTGGGAGCTCCTGGAGCGTCCTGTCCGCTTCCGCCCCCTTCTGCGCGACCGACCGCGCGGTCCTGCCCGGGGCAGGAGTCCGCGCTGCTGTCGCAGGAGCCCCGCTCGGGCCTGTCCCCTTCCTCACCCTCACCCGCCCCCGCCCCCGCCCCCGCGTGAGAAGACGTTCTGACAGACAGGTAGGGTCGGGTTCCAGCTGTGGCCGGAAGGACACCAGGACACGCTGAGTTGCCTGGTGCTCCAGGAGGCCCCGCAGACACCCGCACCCCCCCACACCCGCTGTGAGGGTAGCAGGTGCTTGCCCAGCTCGACTTCGTCAACAGAACCAACCGGTTCTTCCAGCGCGCTGCGGTCTCCGTGGCCTGCCTAGCAACACACACTCCCAGAGCCAGCTGGCCACCCTCTGGAGATTCTGTTACAAGGCTGGGGGCGGGGGGGTGGTCACTGCCAGGCCAACTGCCCACGCCCAGCCCTCTGGCGGTGGGTGCGGTGGGCTAGGGAACCCAGGTGCCTGCAGACCCCACCTGATAGGACTTTCCGCCATCTGTTTATTGAAGCACAGGTCGTCTGGAGAAGGCTCCTAGGCAGCACTGCTGGGAGTGCGGGGGGTGTCCTCTCCATTCCCCTCCCTTGGCGTCAGCCGCCTGGACAGCCCAAGGTGGGGGCGCTACCTGCCTGTCCCCTGCCAGGGGCCCATGGTCAAGCCATGCTTCTTCCTGACCCCATCTGCCACTCCCTGCTGCCTCTCTGACCCTCCCCGGCCCTCCTTCTGGCAGTCTCCCAACTCTCCGTCCCTAAGCTTCCTCGGGGTGGGACCGTGGCCCGTAGGGCCAGTGGGGCACCACCTTTGGAGGCCAGCTTCCTGTTCAAGTCTGTGCAAGCTCACCTCCCAGGCTTTCAGCTTGAAGCGCAGGCCCAGCTGCGTGTAGTCGATGGCCGCATTACCCCTCAGCTGCGCCAGGGCCAGCCGGAAGTCAGACAGGGCCTCCTGGAACCTGTGGGCAGTGGGTGGGGCTCTGAGGTCATTGGGGAAGGGGCCAAGCCCTATCCCAGGCTCCCTCACCCAGCTTCAGGACACCTGCTAGGGGCCGTGGTGACCACCCAGGTCCTAGCTCATGGTGGGCATTCAAGTCTCTACCATTGGATCAAGGGATCAATATGCAGATATGGCTGTGGGGTTACAGAGGGCAACGGGCCTGGGGTGTGAGGTGAAGCTAGCTCTGATCCAGCTCTGCCTTCTGGAAGGCTCACTGCCCTGCCTGGGGCCCCCGTCTACCCAACCCTGGCTGCATAGAGTGCCCTGAGCATTTCCCTCCTGCTTCTCGGGACCCATGTCCCCTGGGGGCCTCCCTCTGCACAGACCTGCTGGAAGGAAGCTCCTCAGCCTCCCCTAGGCAGGCCCCTGGCTCCATGAGAGGAGGAGGCTACCCCCAGAGTCGGCCTGCCTGGCATGGGGCCATCTGTGGGGCTCATCCAGGGGCTAGGTGAGGGAGTGGGAAGATGAGCCTATCCTGCAGAATGGTTCCTTCTCTGGGAAGGACCACGGGAGAAAGAACCCTGGTGAGCATTGAGGACCCCAACCAGCTCCATGTCCTGGGACACACCATTCCCGCAGCCCTGTTTCGGGGTCCACATCTGCAGAACGAGTATGATCACACCATCCCTGCTACAGTAACAACGTGGTGAGGAGCAGAGGAGGGGCTGTCCGTGAAAGCGCTCCATGAACCTCGGCAGAGATGAGGCTCACCATGCGGCTCTGCCCTGCATCTTCTGCAGCAGGAGCACTGTACCCTGCCCATGCTTCCCGGGGGCTATACAGGAGAGGGTTGGCAAGGGGGGGTGACCCACGGGGAGAGCATGGGGGGAGTACAAAAATGGACTGCGCAGAGAGAAAGGGGCATCAGAGAAGAAACAAGGCATCCCTGTGCTCACCTCTCCAGCTGGAAGTTGGCCACACCTCGCTGGAAGAAGGCAACAGCCATGCATGTGTCCTTGGTCACTGCTTGGTCAAATGCCTGAGGATGAAAATGCCCAAGGATCACCCTTGTGTCACAGACAGTCTAGGCAGATGGCCAGCAACAGGGGGCCAAGGCATTCCACTGGCCCTCGTGCCGGCCACACATCCAGGGGTCTCCAGAGCTGGTATCTGGGTGCATGCGTCCCTAGTCAGGTGCCCTGAGCTCCTGAGGTCGAAGAGCCCAGTGAGGTGTCATCATAAACCACTCTGTTTACCATGAGGATGACGGGAAACAACAGAAGGAAGTGCTCCAGCACAGTCACCAGTCACCCCTGGGGCTCCAACTTATGCGACATTCTCATCTTTTTAAACTCCTTTTTTTTTTTAAGATTTTATTTATTTATTCATGAGAGACAGAGAGAGGCAGAGACACAGGCAGAGGGAGATGCAGGCTCCATGCAGGACTCGAACCCGGGAATCCAGGATCACGCCCCCAGCCAAAGGCAGGCGCTCCACCACTGAGCCACTTGGGCGTCCCTAAACTCCTATTTCTGATAGTTCATACAGAATGACACACTTTTTATCTTTTTTTAAAAAAGATCTTATTTAGGGGGATCCCTGGGTGGCTCAGCGGTTTAATGCCTGCCTTTGGCCCAGGGCTTGATCCTGGAGTCCCAGGATCAAGTCCTGTGTCAGGCTCCTTGCAGGGAGCCAGATGTAGGACTCCATCCCAGGACCTCAGGGTCACCCCAGGACCCAGGTGTCCCACACTTGTTATCTTTTTGAATTAGAAAGACAGGCCCCTGGGTGGCTCAGGCGGTGAAGCGTCTGCCTTCAGGTCTGGTCATGACCCAGGGTCCTGGGGTCCAGCCGCACATTGGGCTCCCTGCTCAGCGGGGAGCCTGCTTCTCCCCTCCCTCTGCCTGCAACTCCCTCTACTTGTGCTCTCTCTCTGCCAAATAAATAAATAAAGTCTTTTTTAAAAACCTGAAACTGGGGCAGCCTGGGTCACTCAGCAGTTTAACGCCGCCTTCAGCCCAGAGCCTGATCCTGGAGACCCAGGATTGAGTCCCGCGTCGGGCTCCCTGCATGGAGCCTGCTTCTCCCTCTGCCTGTGTCTCTGCCTCTCTCTCTCTCTCTCTCTCTCGAATAAATAAATAAATAAAAATCTTAAAAAAAAACAAAACCCTGAAATTGTTACTGAGAATTGTAGACTCATATGCAGAGGCAAGAAGCAACAGGGGATCCCTTATACACATTGCCCAGTCTCCCTCTCATTCCCACATGAAGTTGTGCAAGGTATTCACACTGATGCTCTCCTATAACATCTAATTCTCTTTTCATTTGTGTCATTTTTCAGGTAACTGCCACTGATCGTCTTGAAAACTGTTGGATCCTGGTTCTTTCTGTCAGAGAGGTTTGGGGACGGGAACGATGAGTGGGGTGCTGCTGGATTTTTGTACATACCCCTGAATACGCATCACTTGAAAGAATACAAAGCATTCAGAGGGCAGAGAGCAGCTCTGTGCTGCCCCCTCAGCAGACGAGCTGTGCATGTGTACCTGTGTGCACTCCTGAACTCTTGGTTCTTTTGGGGAACAGATTGGGGAAAAGATGAGTACTTAGATCTGGGGTGTGGGTACCAACAAGACAGCATCTGCGCATCGCCATAGGTGTTTGATGAAGTCCCTGCTCCAAGCCCTACACCTTGAGGGGCAGGCAGGCCCCTTCCAAGCAGGATCCAGCCTCCAGCCTATTTCCGGGTACGTTAGGACACCAAGCACCTGAGCCAGTATCACCCCAGCCCTTCCTGGTGACTGGAGAATCTGGCACGTGGTCATCACCACGTGGAGATGATGGGGGAGGCCGCCCCACATCCTGGCCCTGAGTTCAGGTGGGATCCCCCACCACACAGCTCCCACCTGCCATAGCTGTTCACTGAGGCAGAACAGTGGGGGACATCCCCCAGATGACCGTCAGGAAGAAGGGCGGGGACGCCGGGCTCACCCGGGCAGCTGGGTCCCCAGGGCCAGTGAACAGCCTCCCCACAGGTGGGGTCCCCGCGGCCACCCTGGGTGCCCGCTGTCGGGGACCCTGCTCACCCGTAGCGCGGCCTCCGGGTCCCCGGCCAGCAGGTGCACACAGCCCAAGTTGAAGCACATCTTGGCGGGCGGGTCCGGGTTGCCCGAGAAGAGGCGCAGGGCGCAGCCCCAGTCCCCACGGGCCACCGCCTGCACGCCCCGGTGCCAGTCGTGCACCAGGTCCCCTAGCGAGGGCATGGCGCTGTGACGGCTGTCGGCCTGTGCTTCCAGGCTGGAACGGGGCGGGCAAGTGGGTGCCGTGCGGGGTCCGGCGGGACTGGGGGCCAAAGGCCGCGGAGCAGGGGCTCCAGGATCCGGAGAGGCGCGGCGAGGTGGGGGGTACTCCCTACCGAGGCCGGCGGAAGGTCGCGGCGGAGTGGGCGCCGGGAGCCAGGAGCCCGTGCAGTCGGTGAGCCTGCGCAGGTGCGCCACGCCCCCGGTTGCCCTCAGGGCCCCAGGCGGCCCCTGGGGTCCCCGCGGCCCCGCCCCCTCTACATCCGGCCCCGCCCCTTCCCTCCAATCGGTCGCCCCCAGCCGGACTTCCGCCCTCAGCTCCCAGCGTTCGCGTTTCCCCGCCGGTAGCGCCCCCGGCCGGATGGATCTCAGTGCGCCGGGGAAAGCCGTCCGGGATCGCTGCGGCCGCGGCCGGGCCAGGGTTCCGGGCGGACCCCGCGGGCTCAGGTGAGCGACGCCGGGCGCGGGCCCAGGAGGGGCGGGGTCAGGGTTGGGGTCCTCGCCCAGCGGCCCGCGGGGACAGCAGAGACCCAGCGTGGGAGGGGTTCCCGAATCCAACCCCCGGGACGGCGGGTCGTGGGGAGGTGCCGGTGACACTCGTGGGGACCGTCCGTCCCGTGTCCCTGTCACCTGCCTCGTCGCCCTCTCCCTCAGTAGGGACCCACCTGTCCTGACCCACACCCCCTCGGGAACAGGGCCCCACCAGCGCCTGCCCCGCCCCGTCCCCTCTCTGGGACAGGGACCCACCCGCCGCGCCCCTGTGGCAGGCCGGCCCACCCTGTGCCCTGTGGGCTTCCGTGACCCCCAGGAACTCCTTCACCTAGAAAGTAGAAGCCCCCCCCCTCAGACGGAGGCACCTGTGGACCTGGAGGTGGCACCTGCCCCCCACCAGGAGCCGCCCTGGAAGTCTGCAGTGGCTGCAGGGACCCCTGCTTTCTCAGCACATGTCCCTACTGATGCCCCGTAGGTGTCTGGTTGGCTGTCACGCTCTTAGCCACGTGGGTCGGGGTTCTCCGGGGAAACCGGGCCCAGGGCAGAGGGGGAGCCTGACAGTGAGCAGCTGTGGGGCCTGGAGGAACCTGCAGGGGTGCAGGACTCAGGCTGTTCGTGAGTCTGGGAGCCAGGTCTGTCCTCCCAAGGCCTTCTGGGGACTGGATGAGGCCTACCAGGTTAGGGACAGTCATCTGCCTCAGGACAAGGCTACCGTCCCGACTGTCAGTCTCCTAGAAAATGCTTTCTGGGCGCCTGGGGGCTCCAGCCACCTGGACTACGGTCCGGAATTCCAGTCCCAACTTGCGTTCCCTCGCCCCTCGGTACCCCCGCACCAGGTGCTCTTGCCTCTCTCTCTAGTGGTTGACCCACTAGGTGGCACCGTGGCTTTGCTGGGTTGACACATAGGATGAGCCATCTCCGCAGCTGGGCCCAGAAATGCTCCCACAGACATGCTCTGCCCTTTCTCCACTGAGCGAGCCTCCTGGCCCCATGGTGCAGGGGGTATTCGGGTCCTGGATGGCTCGGCTCTTGCTCAAGACCTGACTCACCTTCCACGTTGTTGTCCTCCTTCCCAGGATGGGCCTGTGAGTCCTGTGACCTGGGAGCCACGGCTCCTCCCTGTGTGACCTGAGGGAAAGAGGGCTGAGTCCTGACCTGGCAGACCTGGAGGCCCCCCAGGCAGCTCCCTCAGCGAATGTCCATGGGCCTGGGCCCCTGAGGACCTGCTTCCTCACCTTTGGGCCTGGGTTTCCTGACCCATTAGCCTGGAGGATGGTACCCACAGCGTGATCCTGTCCCTCCCACCTGCGCGGACATCCCTCCCACTCTCATTTTCCTGCCTTCCCTGCAGGGCCTGTCCTACGGCCCACCAAGGTCCCACCTGGGGCTCCTCAAAGCTGACAGCTGCAGCACCCACACCCCGCCCCCATCCTCGCATCTCATGCCTCCTGACACCCCATCACCCACCCACACCTACAGTCCCGTTCCCTTCATCTGGGCTGCAGGAGTGCGGCCAAGGTGCCCAGTCTCACCCTGAACCCCAGCCTCAGATAGGGGTCCGCTCGCTCCTTCCTCCTATGCCTTAGCCCAGTCCAGGACCTGACTACTGGCTTCCATAGGAAATGGAAGTAGTCGGAAGGGACCCCTATGTGGGCACCCACAGGTCTGCCCCCTCCCTGACACTGTCCCCCTCCCACTCCAGCATGGTTTCCTGATGGAGTCAGCCCATCATCATACTGTCATTCTTCCCGTCTTGGCCCCCCTTCCTCCCGGAGCCCACACCCACCCGCCCTGGCCATGTCTTTACTCCCCTTTGCAGCAGAACTGCCTGAAAGACTTGGAGTGTCCAGTGTCCAGTTCTGCTGTGTACCTGTGGAAATTGGGGTGCAATCCGTGTATGAGCAGGTCATTTCTACAGTGTGCAGATCACTGTTCTTGTCCTATTCACAGGACTGAACAAGCATCACCTTATTCCATGGCTGGCTGGCATGCCCATCACCCTGCCCTGCCCCAGCAACCGCTGACCCCATCTCTACAGACTTGGCCCTTCTGGGTGTTACATGTCGATGGAACCGCACAATACATGGACTGTGTGTCTGGCTTCTCTCACTCAGCGTCATGTTTTTGAGCTTCATTCGTGTTGTAGGTCCTATCAGAGTCTTGTTCCTTTTTAGGACTGAATGACACTCATCATGTGGACGGACTCCACCTTTATCCATTTACCTAATGATGGGCATTTGATTGGTTCCCACTCTGGCTATCGTACAGATGCTTCAGTGAAAATTTGTGTACAAGTTTTGTGTGGCCAAGTTTCAGTTCTCTTGGGTGTACACCCAGGAGTGGGGTTGCTGGTTGTGTGGTCCCTCCATTGAACTTTGACTGCTACTGGTGGCTGCACTCTTGCATGTTTCCATTATGCTGCTTGCTTCTTCACTGGCTCTAGGCGCCCTTCCCACCATCACTTTACCCAAAGGCTGGTCAGGGTCACCAGCAATTTCCACATCTTGAGCCCCGTGGGGACACTGAGCATGCCTTGTCCTCCCCCCCTAGCACCTGGCCTCCAGGACATGACCTTGTCCGGGTCTCCTCTGTGCCCTGGCTACCCTTCTGCCTCCCCTGGGCTCCATCCTCCCTGTGGACTTACTCCCCAGTGCTCTGGTTGTTTGGATTACCATCGAGGCGTCTGCTGCATCTGCTCTTGTATCAGCTTCTTTCCTCCTGTAATGAAAAGATGAAAGACGAAATAAAAAGACCCGTCTCCCTGGCTGTCACTGTACTCTAATGTGTACTGCAGCCCTATTAATAGCAGCCCCAAGCTAGAAACCCACTTCGTGTCCTGCAGTGGCTGACTGGCCAAGCCAACTGTGCACCTGAGTGAGGAGATGCGAGGTGGTGCCAGGATGCGCGACGAGGACAGTGGCTTGTGGGCCTCCTGGGAGCGAGCTGAGCAAGAGATTGCCTACTTGGACTCCATTTATATGGCTTTCTTACTGGACCCATTGTATAAATGGGGAGCCGATGAGCAGTTGCTTGGGGCTGCTGACAGGTTACTGCCATGGGCGGACTGGCCTGTTCGGTCCCCGGGGTTGTGATGTGGCTCCTGGAGGTGACACCTGGAGGACATTTCTCTCAGAAGTACATGTGCATCTCTACTTACCGCAAAATAAATGTTTGATTTAAAACAGCTTTTATTTTTAATTTTTAAAAAGATTTATTTATTTATTTATTTATTTGTGATAGACACAGAGAGAGAGAGGCAGAGACACAGGAGGAGGGAGAAGCAGGCTCCATGCACCGGGAGCCGGACATGGGACTCGATCCTGGGACTCCAGGATCGTTCCCTGGGCCAAAGGCAGGCACTAAACCGCTGAGCCACCCAGGGATCCCCTAAAACAGCTTTTAAAGAAGGTTTCAATGAAAGGTTTTGCTGTCTTACAGACATCCTGAAGGTTGGGATGATTAACGAGTCTGAGATTGTTCCAGCTCCGAAACTTAACTGCTTAACTGTCATGTAGAAAACTTCCTTCCATCTGAGCTAACATCTATTCCCATGTAGGCATTGAAGCAGCTGGAGTGGCCACAGCACATGGGCCCATCTGTGCAGACCCCACAGTTCCTACTCAGGGGAGGAGCCCAGGAAAGGGAGCTGCTTCCTCAGGTAAGAATGTGATGCAGATGGCGGTCAGCATTGTCACGGATCTATTTTTAAAGGAATTGTGGTTAATTCAGGAGCACAGATGCCAAACAGGCAGGAATTGCTTTTAGCCCAATACAAGGGAGTTGGGTCTTTTTCTTTCCTTTTTAAACAACAGGCATGTCCCAGGAAAAAAAATAAAATAAAAATAATTTTTTTTCTCTCGGGAAATAAAAACAGCCTTGGATTGATTGGAATGCTTGGTGCTGGAGACCTGCTTCCTGAGCCCTGGCCCGCCCGGGGCTACATCTAACTCGGGGTCACCCAGCACCTCCCCGGAGGCTTCAGTGAGGTGCACCCACCAGCTGCCATGTCTCTAAAATCCAGCACTAGAGCCTGTTTATGGGCTGCTGACTGTGGACACCAGGCAGCCTGGACCTCTGACACCCTAGAAACCTTGAAGAGGAAAACCAGGACCAGGACGGCAGCCATGCAAACATGAAGCAGCTCAGGAGTCATTTTCTTTAAGGTTCAGAGTTGAGACTGTAAAACTGGGAAAGTTTTAACACAATCCTGCAGGATCCCTGGTGGTCAGGGGCCTGTAGGAGTCTGGCCTATGGGCACCAGAGACCTCTTCACCACTCCTCTGCTCTCACAAACCTAAGCCACTGCCAGTTACTTGCCTCTCAGTGTCAAATGGAAAAGCATGTTGCCACTGGTCCCTGAGCTCCTTTCTACATGCGGCCCTTGCAAGGGGGTATCTGGGCCAGGATTGGAAAGTAGGAACAAAGACAGTCCCACCGCCATCCGCGGGCCCTGCACTGTGGCCATTTTGAGGGCCAGGGCCCATCTCTGGAGGCAGGAAGGGGACAGGATGAGCGCCCTGGAGCACACCTGCAGGGTCACGTCATGGCCGACAAATCCAGTACAACAGCCTGTGGAAAAGGGAAGAGCGTATGTTACATGAAATGAATGAGCAAGTGGATGACACCTTGAGACAAGCAGGGGTGAGTCCTGAGACCGAAGGTTCAGGGTCCTGTCCAAGGAGCCCCCCAG